TCTACTTAAGTAACGTAAGGAAGTATTTGTACTCCGTTACTTGACACTTCTGACGACACCCTACATGTTGAAGAAAGGATCTAAAGCAGGATTAAAGCTGTATGTAGAAGAGTGGATGTGCAGCCCATCTGTTTTTGAGGGAATCTTTTAATAGATAGAAGGCTGGTTGTAGCATTGCGAAAGGTTTATTTGTCTCCAGCAGAGTGTCTGATTGTTCTGGATTCTAGGTGTTGATTGAGTATAATAGAGAGACAGTCTGGGAATATTCTATAAGCTCATTTTGCTATTAATGCTGTGTGGCAGTGATCTGAAGGATATAGCCTGAACATCTTCTGACCAGGATGTGTGGGGTCTGTAGAAATGTTTGTTTCCTGCTGTTTTTTTTAATTTATTTTTTTTACCTAGACTTATACAAGTCATAGATGGAGGGAGAGTCAGCTCCAATGATCCTCTCTGGAAATATAGGCTGCAATTAGAAAGGACTCTTTAGCCAAAGCAGACGTATGTCAGCATTAGCATGATAAATACTGTCTGATAAGGAAGTGAGTGAGGGAAAGGAGCTACGAGGAATCCCGCAATCCTTTGCATGAAGCAACATATAAGTAAAGCCCACCGAAATGAACAAAAATACATAATGCTTCACAGGTACTCTGTGTGACACGTGAAAATCTTCACACCTGCATATTTTAACAGAAAAAAGGTAACAGATGTTTTATTTTATTTGAGTTACATATGGGGGAAAAGGGCTCAGAGGTGCAGTGGGTAGCACTGCTGGCTTACAGCAAGAAGGTTCCGAGTTCGATTCCCGGCCCAGGGTCTTTCTGCATGGGGTTTGCATGTTCTCCCTTTGCATGAGTGGGTTCTTTCCTGGTACTCTGGCTTCCTCCCACAGTCCAAAAACATGACTGTTATTTTAATTGACTTCTCTAAATTATCCTTATGTTTGAGTGTGTGAATGGTTGTTTGTCCTGTTTGTCTCTGTGTTGCCCTGTGATGGAATGGCGACCCGTCCAGGGTGTACCTTGCCTCAGACAAACAGGACAAACAACCATTCACACACTCACACCTAAGGACAATTTAGAGAAGCCAATTAACCTAACAGTCATGTTTTTGGACTGTGGGAGGAAGCCGGGGTACCCGGAGAGAACCCACGCAGGCTCAGGGAGACATGCAGAAAGACCCTGGGCAAGGGAATCGAACCCAGAAAACTTCTTGCTGCAAGGCAGCAGTGCTACCCACTGCGCCTCTGAGCACTTTTCTCCCATATGTAGCACCAGAATTCTGACTATTTTCTAACAATTCTGTTTTTCACAGAAAAGTCGAAATTCCAATATTTAAGTCAGAATTCTGACTTTTTTCCGATATTAAGCTCAAATAAAATTTACTTTAACTAAATAAAACACAAAAAATAAAAAAATAATAAATTTCCATGTCTCTAATCCTCTTCCGTATATTTGCTATGTTTGTGCAAAATGTGTCTTTTTTTATAGTTCTTTTTATAAAAGGCAATTTATTTAAAACTAACGTCTACTTTATACAGTGTAATGAAAATAAGGTTCAATTATATTCTATTCTAAAAGCTAAAGGCTGTCCAGATCCAGCACAGATGCCCAGATTTCCTTTCCTACCCAGGATCTTGTCCTTATTGGTGACCTGATGAAAGGAGAAGGAAGAGCGGATAAGAGCAACATTTTGATTATTTTAGATGCAGCCCTCGTTCTGCGTTGTAGCTTGGTCTGCTCCTGTTTTATAAATGAGTACTTCCTGTGTCGATCTACACCAAGCAACTCTGTTAAGCGTTAATTTGAAAATAAACGATTTGCAGAGTTTCTTCCAGAATGGCAACCTATCTGTGAAGTCTTTTCTCTTAAAAGCTAACAACAACATCAGTGGTCTAAGGAGTTGGGGCATAGCATTGACAACTTTGTCCTCTAACTAGAGGGGTGACAATTCCAATCCCAGCCAAGTCGTTGTGCCCCTTGTGCAAGACACCTGACTGGTAGTGGTGAAGTGTTGATGTTGATTGTGTTCAAAGGGCCTGGTAGCACCTGTGTACAGCAGCCTTGTTTCTGTCAGCGTGCCCCAGACCAGCTGGGGCTACGATGTATCAGACAGCATAGGATTAATTACCGCTATTATGCTGATGATACTCAACTATATTTGTCCATAAATTCTAATGAATGAATGTTAATACTAGAGTGTGGCGTTTCCCTTTTGACACTATTTAATTCAATTCAAAAATGCTTTATTAATCCTTAAGGGAAATTAAATGTTGCAGCAACTCATAAGTTATTTTTTAAACAGATGTTGTAGGTGTTGATACCTGTAGGAAGGAAGGATATTCTAGCACCAGATCTGGAGAAGCCTCTTAGATAATTCACTATTGTTAGATCAATTCAATGCTGATAAACGTTGCAATGAATATTAAGATTGTTGTTCCAACTCTTTTACACAGTTAAACACTTTCATAAGTGCAATGTAATTCAATCTAGTGTGAACCAATATATACATTTTAAAAGTGCGGACTCTGAATCCCTGGGAGTTTAAGTTCAAAATGTAAAATAATTGGATAGTTAAACGTCAACTGAATTTCTCTGGTCTGAAGAGACCCTCTTTAACACACAAATAAACAAATTTAAGTAATTTGAAGAGGAAAATTTTAAGATATAAAAAAGTAATTAATGTCATAATTTTAACCAGTTTTATGATTGAAAAGTTAGTGCTTTCTACAGAATAAAGCTTATTGGGACAGTAGCTGTGTGTTTTGGCAGTGGACCATGCATGGCTTCTTCACGGGGCCACATTCATGCAAAAATCTCTAGTGAGAGTCAGGACAGAGATGTACCACTTAATCTGGGACCACTATTGGGCTCAGCCTTATCTTCACTATGATGGATGATAGCAGCTCTTCTGTATCAAACTGCTCCCCGAAAGAATGTATAACCTCATACATAATTGATATGCATTCTACATATGTTCACCACATGTAAAAAAAAAAAAAAAGTGTTACATTAAAGCTATTTTCTTGTACCCGGATATGTCACAACCAATAATCAAGCACAATTAAAAGGCTTCAGTGAACCATTCATTTAAATCAGGTGAGCAGCAGCAGAAAAGCATGAAAACCCCGCAGCTCTCAACTTGGGACTTCATCTTTATTTCTGGCTGTCAAGAAAAACTTACAATAATATCAAACAAAATACATCAAAACCCTTTCAGTTACATGTTTAAAAAATTTCTGTGAACAGAAAGATTTTTTTTTTTTGTCCCGGAGAAAATTCTTACATCTGTATCTTAAGCATGCCCCTGAAAAATCTGTGTTTGAAGCCTTAGATAGCACCAACACAAATGACACAAAAAGGGAGTAAAAAGTGAGGAGAAAATAGGGGAAGGGGATTCAAACCAAGGCTATTATTGGAGCTACAAAAGGCCACTTTAACCCAATGTGTTTCAAAATCTCCAGATCCTAAATCCTGTTTGTGCTCCCAGTCCAACCGATAAAACCAAAACAACTTTATATTCAGCATAAATCATTCAGACTATGTAGACATCGATCCTTAGGTATCTGTTTGTAGTATAAAGTATAACAGAAACATTTAATTCTTGCATCTGTGAGGAACGGGAAGCCCTCAGCGGAGCACAAACAGCATGGAACAGATGAATCAGTGATTTCTAAAACACTCGATGGCTCTAGGCAACTGTTTTTAAAAGTCTCAGAAAAATCCAGGCAGAGAATCCATTTTCTCTGCTTTCCTTACAAAAAACAAACAGAAATCTGGAGTTTTCTTCAGCGTTTCAGTGACAACCTTTTGGTGGTCGATAAGAGGATACAGATTACAGACGTGAGGGTTCATCAATAAATTAATCCAAAAACAGCCAAAGCTTATCGAAACAAGACAAAACATGAGTTTAATGATATTCAGCAACACAAACAAAGGATTTCATCACAGACATCTGCAGAATTAACCTTTTTTTCCCATTAAGAGATTCAGTCGGTCAACCTATTTCGTTTAGAGATGAACTGCTGCACACTGATCGTGCAACTTATTTAGTCAGTTTTAAGTGCCATGAGGGAAATTCCTGGAGGAAAGTAGGAAAAACACACTTTTTTTTAATTTAATGTAAAACAATTACTTTTAATTGACAAAAAGGTATCCTACACAAAAAAATGCATCCGTTTTTGTCATTATCTTAATCTTTAACACAACTGTTTAATGTTAGCAGGGTAGAACATAAAACAATTGTGTTAAAGTAACTAAATATTATTAAGTAAATGAAAAAGCGGTTGAATTAATTTTTTCAGTGCATGAAAAATATACATAATATTTTAGTATTTAAGTGGATTTATAATTACATGCTTCTAAGGATTATATCTTTATCTGTCATGCAAGTCGGCGTAAAGATTACACTTCCATCTAGATTATTAAATCAGTTATATGTTTTTGTATAGTCCACATTTGGCAGCAGGCATTATTATATTGTCTTCATGAACCAAACAATATGATTTAAGCACAGAGAAAATCATTTCATAATAAATAATACCAATTTATTTTAACTAGTGTAGACATTCACCCTTTGTATGGTTTTGATTTCAGATATTAATGTGCTGAGTGGTGGGAAAAAGTGAGTAGTTTGCAGAAAAACACATTAGTGACTTTTAATCTGAATCTCAACATTTATCACTTAATTCCACTTTTCAAGCGATAATATAGTAAAAAGTTTGACAGCTGAGTCGCTTCTGCAACAGCTGTTTGCAAGGCTCATAAAAAGCTGCGTGCATAAAGCTCCAACCTGCAGCATTTAACGCGCAGGAAGGCGCGGATCTGTGCGCAGCTGCAGCGCACCACCAGCAGGACGCAGCAAGGAAAGGTGGGAGATCTGAGCATCCCGGTCTCAGATCCCAGCAAAACTAACATCACAGCATCTCTGCTGCAGAACAAAGTTCTGTCCTGAAACCCATAATCACTCTCTAACAGAGCCAGAGGGTTTGAGATACTTACTGAGAAGCAGAGCAACAGGAAAGAAGATGAGGCAGGCGGAGTTCAGCAGAGACGCCATGCCGAGCCGAAAGTTCCTCCTCTGGACTCACAAGTTTCAGCTTGGATCCAGAAGTCCAGACTGAATCTGTTCCGATAGAGGAAGGAAAGGAAAGGGAGGAGGAGGAGCTGGTTACAGTGTTCTCCTCCTGCAGCAGCAGCACCGCTGTTCTCCGCTCTGAGAGCATCCACTGCTGCTGAGCATCACTGAGAGGAGGAGGAGGAGGAGGAGGAGGAGGAGGAGGAGGAGGAGGAGGAGGAGGAGGAGGAGGAGGAGGAGGAGGAGGAGGAGGAGGAGGAGGAGGCTTTTCTGCGGTTCTTTCAACTTTGTTTTTTCCTTCCAACAAACCCATAGGCCATGTCAGAGAAAAGCAGGCAGAGCTGATCCAAGGCAAAAGCAAACTAAGCTGCTTCCTCAAACCACCAGCTGGGCTCCCATACATTATAAAGATTTCATATTTTCCTAAATTTAAGTTGCTAAAAATGTCAGTTTTATTAAAATGAAAAGAATGATCTCCATGGTTTGATATGCAGAGGCATAGAATGTTTTCATCAGGGTGGCCAGGCAATAACCAATGTACACTGAGGGGTGCCAGAAAGTAGCCTGACGTAGTCCGACTCAATTCTAGTCAGAATATGAGTCTGATGCTGCTCCATAGAGCTGTGATTATGGGGCGTGTTTTGAACGAACCAGGAAAAAAAATGCCTCTGCACTCAATTGGATAGACCTACAACCAATAAGAGCAACGGAGTGTGTGACGTATGTTAAGCGAGGCATAGTTGTTGTCCACAAAAATCAAAGCGTGCAGTTGCACGCCTATAATAAGAAGATGAGACTTGATCGCGTTTCTCTGTTCCTCTTTTAAAATTAATTTGCTGTCGATATCTTCTAGAACAGACCTAATAGCAGAATCTACTCACCTCAACTATCCAGCGGCAGCCATTATTGTTGTCACCCAAGCGCGCATTGGTCATGTGGTTGATTACGTTACTGTTGGTCATCTGTCCATCATCGTATAAAGCCCGCCCTGACAATTTGATTGGATCGCCTGACAGTGGGCGATAATACTCGCGCTACTATGGAGCAGAGCCAGACTGAACTTCCCGACCTCAAACTTTGTGGGCGGGACTAAGTTCGGAATGGCACCCAGGCTAGCCAGAAAGTGGATAGGCACCAAAACTGCAGGGTCAAACTACTACTAATGAGAACGTCCATATTTTCTAAATAAAGACAAACTATTTCTTTCCTACCATCTGTCATGGTCTTGGTTCTGCTGTTCTTTACTTTGCTCCTTGTTTTCTAGATTTATTGGTTTAATTCCAGTTTTGTTGTATTTCTAGATTTATATTAGTTCACATGTTTTTCTGTTGTCCTCTTTTGCCCTCTTGTGTGTGTGTGTTCCTTTCCCCTTGGCTCCCTCATTGTCTCCTCTCACACCTGCTCCTTGTCTGCTCGTTAGCCCTCCCTTTGTCTCTCTCTGCTATATATGCTCTCCCTCTGCTCTCACTCTTTGTTGGTTCCTTGTCTTTGCTGTCCTCCCGTGCTGTTGTCCACGTTCCTCGTCTCTCCCTGGCTCCTTGTGTTTGGTTTCCCCCAGATGTCTCCATAGTTCTGGTTTGCTTTGATTATTAGTTGGATTTTTGCATTCCTGCCTTTGTTACTGTTTTTGCCCCATTAAACTCCCAAGAAATCTCCTCAGCCTCTCTCCCTCTGCATTTGGGTCCTCTACCACAACCAAACCCTGACACCATCCATGCTTTCTAGGTAAAAGGTCTCCAAAGGACTGGATAAAAATCTTTCAGGTCATTACTTACCTAGTTTTTTATTTTCTTTAGTCCAACTGTTTTTGACATTCTTTTTTGTTTCTGCATTTTTTATTTTATTATATATATTTCTTATTTGTCCCTACTTGCTTTGATTCTGTCTTATTTTCCTGTATTTCAATCTTTTTTTTTTTTGACAGGGACAGTACATTAAACATTGCAACCAAACAGGTGGCTGATGTCAAAGTACATAAGGCTTGTAGCCATGGGCTAATTTGCAGCCTTCGTCCCTGGTTAGGCTTTTAAAAGGTGTTAGCATTAAGTGGGAGGGAGGTTAGTAATGACACACAGATGCATAAAAACCCCCCCCAAAAAACAAGAGAAGTTAAACCAAAAAAAACAACAACAAAAAAAAAAATGTACAGTACAAGCCAGTTTAGTGCTCACACTCTTGATTGTCTTTGAGCCATTTTTTCAATCTTGTGGAGAAAAGTCGAATATCAGTCTATGACTTAAGCTACAGAGGCAAAGAGTTCCAGAGATGTGATGCTTTCACTGAGAAGGCGGACTGACCCATAGATGTCCGACATCTTTTAATCCTGCAGTTCCCACTAGCTCCAGCTCTTGTCCTGATTCCTTCATTTGCATACTTTAAAACAAATCTACAGATTACTTCAGGGGCAAGACCATTAAGGCATTTAAAAATAGCTTTTAAAAATAAGAAATTTATAAAATTTTCAAATGTCATCATGTTGTATTTTTTTTATAATTTTATAGTGATGCCACTTCACCGGTTTTTGATCGAATATTTTTAATCCTTGCTTGTGAAGTGAGAGTAAAGGTTTTAAAACAGACTTTGTGGCCTGGCCCCAAACAATGGAGCAATAAGACATATGGGATAAAATCCTTGCATGTAAATATACATGTGCAGCTTGATTTGATACACATGGTCGAATCATTCGAAAACAGTTTATATTTGTCTTTATAGTTTTCGTCATTTTCTTAATATGGGCATCAAATTTCAATTTTGAATCTAAAACTACCCCCAGATACTTAAATTCACCAGCCGGCTTTATTTCATGTTGATTAATAATTATTTTGAGTTAATTGTTTATAATTTTCTTAAGGGAGAAACACATGGAGACAGTCTTGGTGTAATTCAGAGTTAAGCAGTTATCTTGGAGCCACTCTGGTAAGATGCACAACTGTCTGTTTAACAGGTCAGAGGCCTTTCCAGGTGTGTCTGCTGCCACATAAATTATTGTATCATCTGCATACATTTGACAGATGGCATCTTTGCAGATGTTTGGGATATCATTTATGTACAAACAGAAAAGTAATGGGCCCAAAATGGACCCCTGTGGTACACCCACATTACATTTTTGGATCCCAGATTTGATGCCAATAATTTTGACACACTGATGTCGTTGCTCAAAATAAGATTTGAACCAGCTTAAGGTTTGTTTAGAAACATGTAGTTGTTCCAGTTTCCTTAGCAGAACGGGCTCTATGCACAGCTCCACTACTTCCTGAATTTAAGGCAGCTCCTTTGTTTCCTGTCTTTCATTACTGGACGAACTGATTAATCCAGGTGTGTCTGGCCAGTTACTTAGGTCATACACACCTGGATTAATCAGTGCATCCAATCATGAAAGACAGGAAACAAAGGAGCTGCCTTAAATTCAGGAAGTAGTGGAGCTGTGCATAGAGCCTACTGTGTGATTTACAGTATCGAACGCTTTTGTAAAATCTAGAAATACTGCCCCAACACATTTTCCTCCATCCAAACTACCTTTTATGTATTCCGTAAAATGGCATACAGCCATTTCAGTGGAATACCTTGGTCTAAATCCAAATTGTTTAGGGTTAAGTATTCTTTTCTCCTCTAAATAGGCCATTAATTGTTCAGCAACTAGCTTCTTTAGCACCTTAGAAATGACAGGTACAATTGCAATGGGTCGATAATTACAGACCGCATCAGCTGATCCAGACTTAAAATAAAAATAAAATTTTCACATTTTTTAATTGACAAGTTCACTAGATGAGATATTGGTTTTACTAGATCTGCACTATACTTTTTGATTAAAAATGTATCTAAACCAAATATATCTTTTGCTTTGGATGAATTTAATTGATTGATAATTGTCCTTATTTCACTTTAGTCAACCTGTTTGATGTGAAAAGGTGAGGCTGAGTCTTCAGCAACATTACATGGAACCAAAATTGGATTGAAATTTTCAGCAAGTTGCTCTACTGAATTAATAAAATATGAATTGAATTCATTTGCAATTTTGGCAGAGTTATTGCTAACCATTCCATTTTAGATTGAGCTTTGTTACACATTTTCTTAAATTGCACTTGCGATTGGTCAACTTGTTAATCTGCTTCCATATTTCAGAGCTATTTCTACTTGATTCAGCAAACAATTGCATAAAATATGTGGACCTTGACTTTCTTATTTCATTAAAGCTACAGTTTGTAATTTTCAGCGACATCTAACGTCCAGACTGCAGACCGCAGCAACATGAACATCTCCCCCCCACCGCTTCTCCCCCCCAAAAGTACGGCGAGCGTTACGGGACAAAATGTCTTCCACGACGTCCGCATCACCTACCTTCTCAAGTGATGAGGTTTTTTTTTACATAGATAATTTTACAGATAGTATTTAATTAGTCTGTGTAGGGTATAGATTTCAGTACCGTCTCAGTTCATCTCTCTCAACTCGCTAGTTTGTTGGCTCTGTGCTGCTGTAGTGCAAAGATGTCTGCCTCCATGGCTGCGAGACCCGCTCCTATGTAATTATAAATAACGAATTCTAAGGCAACGCAAATATTAAGGTTAAGAGGCTGAGCTTGTAGATGATGATAAATAACATAGTTATGTATAATATATTACATTTCTGACTGTATATCTCTGTAATTATTACACACTGTAGCTTTAACAACTTTATTTCGTAGTAATTTAAAGACAAGTGTGTCTGTTTGAAATTTAGTTTTTAGTGAAATTTTCAGAGCAAGATCTCACTTTTTCATAAGTTGAATAATAGCCTGGTTTACCCATGGTAGACTAGTTTGTTTACTATTGTTTTTTATAGCACAACTAAATCTCTGAATAATATTTTTTAGGGTTAGGGTTACTTTTGTTGATATTATTTGTAGGACCAGGATTTAGTTGTACCGTATGTCCCCGCTCAAGAGTAGAAGAAGCAGAAGTATCCATAACCATCCATTCTTCCTGCTTGCATGATGTTTAGCTTCTGTGGTGGTTATTTGGCATTTTTGCCAGCTTGTCAAAAACAGAGCATGATATCCAAATCCAAAGAAGCGTAAAGTTAGTTTCACAATCATTGACATAAGTTGGGTAGAACTGCTTGATGATGATGTTTCATCTGGGATCAGGCCTTGGCCCAGTGGGAAACACAAACACCACAAACATATTAGCCACACAAACACATATGTAAATCATGTAAAGCACTTGCTTTGTCTTGTACTGAATTGTGCAATACAAATAAATTTGCCTTGCCTTACTTTTATCAATAATCACTCTGCAGAAAATTAATATTTACAAGTACTAATATCTACATAAATTGATTATTTAACAAGTCTTTATTAAAATAGTTATTTATCTATGATTTCACTGAAGATGACTTGCAGAGACACATCCTTTTCTCTTTACCCCATATAAAACAAAATCTAGTTCTGAAGAGTGAATAAATTCCATACTTATCGTCTTTAATGTTAGTATATTGACGTGCATAATTAACCGTAGTGTTTTTGTTGTCAAGTTATTGTTAATATATGAAAAGTTACAGGGGGAAAATTGTAGGGCTGGCAAATGATTGGCTAAGGGTGGCCATGGCCACGCCTGGCCCCCCACCTAGCTCCGCCCCTGTGGCTGTGCTATCATATTAACAATCATTTTTCACAATTAAAATAGTTTGGTGTGGAGAAAAAAATGTATCCCAGAAATTCTTTTAGCTCAACCACCTAAAGCAGGGGCCACCTCACATCTCACAGCTAGAGACCAAGGGCCGCATACATGAAAGGGTGTGCCGCTTTTATACTAAAAGTGTTCAACTGTGAAACTTACAAAAAGAATTGGAGGTATAAAAAAGGCGAACATGAATGCTATTGTTTACTTGTAATGAAAGGGTGAGATGATCAGGCCCATCTGCTGCCAATGCTGTGCACACTCTGCACTGGTGGCAACTTCTGTAGCAGTTTATTCTCTGGAGCTGAATCCAAAAATCTTTCATTGCACATGCAGTTTTGTCACAAAGCAACAATGGCTTCAGATTTTCTTAAGTTGTCCACACTTTGACAGATCAGCTTTACAGTTGTTGAGGATTTCACCAAAATTAAAACCTATCCAAGGAAATTAACCTTAGACCAACATGCAAATGCAAGTTTGTAATCCACATTTCTGACAGTGGTAAAGGTTTGGCCTCATTCATGCAGGAAAGCATTTTATTAATGCGTGAAGGCTGCACAATGGGCTAAATGCTGGATTAATCATTCCAGCTGACGTACATTTACTGAATTTTTCCATCTCATCTTGTCAGAAAGATAGATGCCCCGACTGATGGGTAAGGGCGTAGGTTTGATTTCAACTTTGGTAGGGACACTATTGGTCTGATGCCATTGGTCCTATGCAAAAATATGCATGCTTGTTTTTTTTAAACGCTTGACGGGAAAATTAGGGTGTATTTCGTTTAAAGAGAAAAGCAAAATTTCTTGCTACATTTATACAAATTTTATATCCACTACACACACTAGATGCTGTTTATCAATGACTGAAGCTTAACTGGCTTTTATAAATGAGGACTTTTTTCCACTTTGAAAAGGTTTGCATTTGAAATTACCAACGACTAAGACAGTAGATAAATCTGTGCCTATTTAACAGAATATAATCTAAATGTGCCTGTTATATGTGGATTTATACTTTTTTATTTTGAAGATATAGAATTGTGCAGAGGTTAACAGAGGTAAAACCCACTCTTATCTTTTAAATGTTCTCTTTGTATCATGAAACAAAGTGAAATAATAGATTCAAGCGGCACCAAATAATGTATTGTACGTTCATGTGCCCTGGAACTAGAAGAAGAACCGACACTGAGAATTTAATTTATTAACCTCACTCTACAAGTTGTACATCTAGGATGTAGTTAATCTGTTTAACCCATTTCATGTATTTTATTTAGGGCTGAAACAATTCATTGGATTAATCAATTATTGAAATAATGCCAACAAATTTAGTAATCAATTAATTATTAACTGGAGTATAGAGACTGTAAAACATGTCTTTAGCTCAAAGTGACCCACTTAGAGCAGCAATTATACCAAAATTGTAAAAAAAGAAATAAAAATGTTGCATTTTAGATAAAATCTGTTTTCGTCTGTCAATATTCTCCCTCCAGAACTCTACTGCTGCAACAATGCTGTATAGTAAATTATAAACATGTTATTCACATGTTATTGTTGGTAGGGACAACTTCATCAGTCTCTTTGGAGAGTGCAATCTTTCTACTGTCATCTGCTGAGGTAAATGCATCAGCTAGGAACTCATCTAGAACCTCTGGAGATTATCTCACAAAGAAGAATTCTTCATTTAAGTGAAGAATGTTGATCCTCTTCGTCAGACAGTCGAAAAACAACATCTTTAGTCAGAGGCATCTGGAGCGATGCTGCAACAAACCGCTGCAGCAGATCTGTCCTGCCTTCAGCTGGTAATAAAACAAACCCTACCAGTTACATTTCATTTCCATTTAGGATCAGTACTTTGGAATTGTTTAAAAATAAAGATTGTAGGCGAAATCAAAAAGGCTTTAAATGTGTTATAAATTAGTGGGAATAAACTAGAAATACTTTTTAAAGTTTTAAATACTCAAAACATACAAAAGTTAATCAAAGTTCCATCAGATCCAGCAGATAAAAAGAAACATGATACAAAATAAAAAGATACAAAATAAATAATTTTTTTAAATTTTCCTTTATTCCAAAATGTTTAAGGGGTAAAACAAACTATAAACAGCACAAACAGAACCATGTGGGTCAAATGAAACAAACAATGAAGAGAGAGGAGGAAACCTTAGCATCTGTACAGCAGCTAGTAGTCAAGAAAATAAACAGCTTCCATCTTCCTCCAGGCCTGAAATGAGCGCTCCTATCTGGATCCCAACCAAACATAAAGATTCTCCTGTGTGGGTCCGTAGTCTGAAACCAAAACACAGCTGCTGTGACCGCTTAACCTTACATGTCAGGAACTGATAAAATAAAGTAAGGCACTTTATAGACGAGTCTAACAGATTCTTAACAACCAGAGATTATTTTGTTTAACAATCAGCAACAACGTAAATCTACCCTGTAAGTTTAATGGTCGAGTGAATGAGCGCCAACATTTCAACAAAGTAGGCGTTCGCAACCTAACCGCGGGAAAAATCTTGGTTTAGTAAAGAAGAAGCGACTTTTTAAAATCCTAAACATGGAAAAACAGAATCCGAGAGAGTGCTGCCTCCTAGAGCCTAAAGAGGAGTAACTGCACATTCAGGTCACAAACATCCTGATAAAATAACATCAGCATTTATTTATTTTTTTTTATATATTGAGCTAAAGCAAGTATACATGGCTTACAAATACTAAATGCTCTTCATAAAAAGAGGCTAACATATCGAACAAAACAAGTTTTGGACGGCAAACTTTTGTGTTGCTCAACTCTGAAAATGTCTGATTTTAAACAAAAAATGCTTTATCACATCAAAACTGATACCTCTGCGTTCATTTATCACCTGGGACCTATTCTGCTCCCCCTCCAAGCCTTTATATGGAACAAATCCTGAAAAAATGAAATTATCTTAATGAATATCATCAGATTCTCTTGTCAAAGACTCGGCGGGGCATGAATGTCACCTCCAGCCCATTAAGAAATAACCAAGAGGAGACACAAAATGCCGCTGGGATCGCACATACTTCTGGTTGCCCTGATCGGCTTGAACTGAAAGCAGAATGAGCCGATGAATTCCCCGTCAGAAAAACCACACACAAAAAAAGGCCAGCTGTTTGCTATTAAGGCTACATTTTCAGGCCAGACGTCTTTTCTTCAGGCTGCACGTTTGACCACGCTCTGTCTGCATCCCTGGTTGAAGGTGACGGTTCCAACGAATGGAGGGAAATCGAGCATTCCTCGGGTCAGCAGACGGCTCCAAGTGTCAGAGAAGACCAGAAGGTCAACAGTGAGGTTAGACAATCCTTCTGTCATCATTATCCTCCCACATAAAGGAAAAAAAATGAAATTACAGTAACCTAAAGACCAGGAAGTGATGCGGCACTGAGGAGACAGAGATGGGGTTCTGTCTCAGAAGCAGAACAATGCGTTTCCTGAAGCTTCTGCCTTTAAAAAACAAAACCAAAATGAGAGATGATGAGAGGGGGGAGGGGTCAAAGAGACTCCTGCTCCAGGACTAGTGGTTGACGAGTCCCTGCAGCATCATCAGCAGGCGCCGCGCCCTCTTGCTGAGCGGGCCGTGAGGGTCCTGCTGCAGGAAGGCCATGAGCTTTGGTCGGACCTGGGACAGCACAGAGGACATGTGGTCTTTGGTCAGGGGGTCTCTGTGGTCCAAGTTCATCACTGCGTCTTCCAGGTAGCTGAAGGGGAACAGAATGAGGCAAACTTTAGTGAGAAACATGGTTTTCAAAATCTTTACATTTTTTCCTTCAATATTCTGGACATCAGATTATATGAATTTTCTGCTGCTTAAACAACCATTGTTTCCTATTATCAGTAGATTTCTATACACTTTTAAATAAAACAAGGTTGGAGCATCTGAAGTAAAAAAAAAAGGGCAATTTCACTGCTTTTTTCCCCCATCCTGCTTAAAATAAAATAGCTCTGTTTTAGGATGCTTACTTCTGCAGATTCTAAAAGTGATATTTCTTGCTTAAAATCTGTTGGAGGAATAAATCTTATCCAATAAATACCAACTTCAGATCTTAGCATAATAAGGTTAGGGACCACAAGTTCAGTTCAACCAAGATTTTCTAGATTCCTTAAAATGTTCTAAATGAATCTGCAGTTTGTTGGTCGGTCTGAACTCAAAGTTTTGGTGGGTAACTTTAAAATCAAGGTGTGACATAGAAAATTAAAGGTCAGGTATACATTTATTTCACCCAATTAGCCTCCAGATGATTTTCAACTGTGCAGTTTTTTGGTCTCATGTTTTAAATGAGCTTCAGAATTTTAATTTGTCTTGATTTTGGACCAGAATATATAAAATATACTTTATCTATTGATCAATATCAGAAGTAAAAACCTGTGAAAACAAAGTCAAAAAAAAAAATCAACACACAGAGCCTCTGGGTTACTGAGGTAAATCTCTTGTGTTGGATTATATTTTATAAGTCTGTGCAGAGGTCTAGAGAGTTTCTCATTTTATATTTTCATTTCTGTGAAGTTGGATCAAGGGTTCTGGAGGATTTCTAAAGCTCTTTAGAAATGAAACCCACCAAAAATAGAACAACCTAGCAGCTGTAAGCCAACAGCTTTGCACCAAAAAGTCAATTCTAAGGCTAAAAGACTGAAACCATCAAATAACTTTCTATGTCTTGGTTGGTGATGACTGTCCAAACAAAGTGATAAGAACCAAATAAACTGTGTTTGGGGTTTTGTATCCTCCTCTTCTCTCTTTTTGTAAATCAGGAATGAAAACCTTGTGCAAGTAGAGGCAAGACATGATCGCATTATTTGATGTTGCACCAATTGGCAGGGAAAAAAATAAGAAGAGAGGAACATCTTCAGACAGAAGAAGGTACTACATAATATTTTGTAAACTTCTCACATCTGGATTGTTTAATTTCTTTTAAATGCAAGTGATGGAAACAATCTCTTCCGTTCTTCCCACATCGGAGATCAACTCAGAGCAAAACCCAGTCGATCCAGTTCTTTCTGATCCATTTTATACTCTTCTTGTCCTTTAACTGTCAGCTGCTCAACATTTAACTCTCTAATTAATGGTTTGGGTCAGACATCTGGAGGAAAAGTCCAGTGTAAATCAAACCTTCCCAGTTTGCCTGCTGGTTTCCTGCCAGGCCAAAAATCACAGGTCTATTAAATCCCCCACAGCAGAGCGGACACACGCTTTTAAAGAGACTTTTAATGTTGCTGCACAGACCTCTGCAGACACTGAACTGTCCTTCTGCGAGTTAATAACTCATCAACTTGTAGCCACGTTCCATCCAAACCTTTAAAACACACAGTGAAGCAGTTTAACGGCTGTTCCTGCTCCCCCGCTTCATATTATTCGCTTATCCATTTTTATGATGGCGTGTTCCCTCGCAGCTAGATAATGACCCCCACTAAGATCACGTGGATTCTGTGGATAACGACACTCTCAGGCGTCCAAAGAAACCCCCTCACAAGTTTTATAAGATCTTTCCAATCAGAAGGCACCTTTATCTGCAGACGGCCCTGTGATTATGATTTACTATCACAGGCTGGGCACTTTATTGCATGATTTCTATCTTTGTGCAAGGGAAGCTTTCCAGCAAAATTAAAAATCAAATCTGCCACTAAATTATAGAATAGTTACGTTAAAAAGTGTCATTTAGTTTTCCTTCTAATAAATTATGCATAACCCAAAAAAGCTTCAGCTGAGCCACACCCTGCTGCCTTCATCATAGCAAAACCAGAGAACCAAATCAGCGGCCTCCGCTTTGAAGCACCTCAGCATCAAGTTCTGCTGTACAGCAAATCAGAGCCAGGGGGAGGATATATGGAGGTTCAGACAGGATGCAAAGAAATAAAGGAAAAAGTCCACCAACAAAAAGATTTTTATAAACCCAATAAAACAGACAAGAACAAGGACAAAGCCAGAACAGAGCAGCAGAGAGCATCTAAAACCGATGCTATCTGTGGGACCGTGTGAGCTCCCCAGACAGCCGTGCAGCAGACGGAGCAGCGTGATCCGGTCAGCACTTTAGCACCGTTTCACCCCACAGGAGACTATGAATAATAGTCATACAGTGGAGATTAGATGTGGGGAAATAATTGAGTCAAAGGCTGGCTTTATTGCTGATGGAGTGCAGCACAAGCACCGGTGTGAGGAGGAGAAAAGGTGCGGGATGCTCTTCAAAACTTAATGATTGAGATGTTTCTGCTGTTACAGCCTAAAGGTTACTGATGAAAACTAATGAACTTCTTTAAAAACCTCCTGCAAATATTTTTAAGCAGAGTTAATATTAGAAATCAGAGTGAAAGTCTTTTCATTTATTTCATGCTATGCAGAATTACTCTGGAGTAAAAGAAAAATATTCCAGATGCAGATTAATCAAAAAATGGGTTCAGAAATTATTTTATGGAGGAAGGCTTTTCAAAGTGTGGTGCTCCGCTGCCCTAGAGGGCGCTGTAAGCAACTAGGACATCCAACCAACATAACTAGCCAGTGGCTGTTTGTGCACCGTCCCCCCATGTTTATCTCGCCCCTTCGAAGGGGAGCAGCTTCGAAGGGGAGCGCTCACAGAGCTCAGAGTATTAAGTTAAAAGTTCTCTTTTCTGTTGCTGTTGTTCTATAAAAGTACGTTTTAAGATATTTTGAGGTGAGAACATTATACCTTTAGGCGTCTATATTTCCCAATTACTAATTTAGTGTATAATTAAAATAAAGTTCTGATGCTGAGAGGACCGTGGCAACCAGCGGACCTCTGAGGCTAACCGCAGCCCGTCTGCAGCAGCGCACTCAGTATAAGCCGTGTGTGAAGCACTGCTGGCTCTGATGGACAGTTTTTTTTTTTATTTGGCAAAATGTTAATTTTATGTGTTTATCTGACTGTGTTAATTATTATTCCCCCACTAAAAAAGTAAGAATGTAAGAGACTATTAATAACAGGAGGTGAAAAGCAGCTTCAGACGAGCCGAGCATGTGGTGACATTACGAATGTGCTTCGGTTCCAATTGACCCATATTTATGCTGCGTGCTCCCGTTCTCCCTGAGTCCACTCTTTCCTGGGTTCTTCTCAAGAACATACTTGGCGAGGACACTAGTCCATATTGGCATTCTTGTGAATTGAGAAAAGGCCAAAGGAAGCGCTACACAGCAGGCCTGCTGATGCCCTTCACATCTACATTTTTGTGTAAATGTTTTTTTGTTTTTTATTAACATCAATTGAAAAAAGAAGGAGAATCACAAGACGAAATCACACTTCTGTTGAACAGTGCATCTCTGCCAACAAGTTGGGGACTAACGCGTTACAGTAGATACATCCGCAAGCAACTACCATTGTAACTAACTGTTTAATGCTATTGCAAAGTGTATTTTTTAGTTAAATTGCTTGAAAATATAAACTTATTTTATAGCCAATTGAGGGCTGTTGTTGTAAAAAAAATTTAAATGTCAATAATTCAACCTTTAGCTGTCTTAAAATTCAAATAACGAAGGTTCTTCCACATTTTAAAACATAAAAAGTAACTGCATAGTTACTTTGGCCTGTTAAGAGTTACTTTCATTGAGCAGTAACTGAGTTACTAACTCAGTTACGTGGAGAAGTAACTATAACGAGTTACTTATCTAAAGTACCTTTCCCAACACTGCTGTCAACATGTGCGTGCCTACTTTCCCAAAAGAACATGTGTTGCTGGAGAAAATATGACCAATAGTTTATTTTAATCATAATAATAATTACAGTTGGGATATAAACTTGATTTAAAAAAAACTTTTAAAGGCAGGTTGAGTCAAGAATGTTCTCTGTTCCATGGTTTGGGATCATGGCTCACATTTCCAAGCATTTCTAACAACAGAATGACATTAAAGTAGGGATGCACGATATAATCGGCCCCCTATCGGTATCGGCCTGTATCGGCCTTAAAACTGAATATCGGACATCGGCCACCCCACCGATATTTAACCCGATATTTGATCAGCTTCTGAGTTTCTAAAGTCTAAAGAAATATATATATACTACTTCTTCTTCTTCTTCTTCCTCAAAAACTTCTTTTTTTACAGACTTAAAAACTTCTAAAGATGAGGGGAAAAAATATTGATAAAATATCACAATATCTTCATATACTGATATATTGCCATTTAAAAACACCTTATCAATCTCTTTTATTATTGAAATATTGCTATATGTCATCGTTATGCTACGAAATCCCCCGAAAATTCACGAAATGTTGCCATATTTTTATGTTGATATATTGACGCGGTATCGATCTATTTTACTAACAAAATCTCACAAGAATTTGCAAAATATCATGAGAGTTTGTAACAGAACGATGAAATTTGACGAGATTTTGAAAGTAAAATAGATCGATACCGCGTTTTTAAAAATCAATTTGATATCAGCATATGACAATATATTTGACTATATTATTTTTCAAAGTGTCAGAAATGGATAACAAAACTGCTATTTTCAATGATTACTTATTTTTGTCCAGCTTTAACATCGGTATCGATATCGGTTATCGGCTACATGAGTTTTAAAATATCGGATATCGGCCAAAATCCCAATATCGTGCATCCCTACATTAAAGCTCTGTTTCACATATAAACCTTTTAAATGAATGATCACGTTTCTGTCTGGTAGAACATTATAAAAGTGAGAAGCATCACTGGATGCTGATGGAAGTGCAGGACTTGGACATCTGTATAATCCGTGGGGCTGTGATTACTCACAGCACAGCAGTTGAATGAAAAACCTTCATTCATGCAGACTTTGACAGGTCAGCAAAGTACATTTTTATTATGTAGAAAAATGTTAAGTCATTCATAGATAAGAGTTCCTGAAAAAGGATTGTGATATAAAACATGTTTGTTTTATTTTCTTACCTGATTTTGAGCTCAGAGCGGGTGGTGAGGTTGGAGGAAAGCTGCTGGATGAGTGAGAGCAGCACAGGCTGGCTCAGAGGGCAGGGCGTCTGCCCAAACACCTGCTGCGAGTCGATGGTCTCACACACGTACAGAACCAGATTCAGATCAGTCGCTGACAGAGCCTGCAGGAGGAGGCAGAGACAAACAGGGGGCTTTATTATGATTCCTTTATTTATTCTGTCAGATTTCTTCCTCATGATTAAATGGAAACTATTAACTTCAAATGGGGATGGGATTCTACCACCTGCCAGAGCCATCTTTTGGCTCCTTCCTCCTGCTCTACTGTCACACACAGACCTGATGATGTGAACCTGAGGACTGGATGCTTCCTGGGGGAACTTTGTACTTGTTGGCATTGTTGTAGTGACTGAAATATAGTAAATATTTAGGCTTGAGCTGTGAGCTAGGTAAGGTAATTCAGATGTGGCTTAACTGCTGTTTGATTTCTTTATAACTAGATAAGAATGGGTAATGTCTTGAGTTTATGTTTTTTGTATAAATAGGTGTAATATCAAAGTTATCAAGGTTCTGACAAACTTTAGTCCAAAATGACAAACTTTTTTAGACTAATCATTGGAGTCTATGTTCTACATTTGCACTAATTACATTAAATTAAAAGGATTAGTTGCCCCAAACTAAATACCGATTATTCTCAATTCATGAATCTTCATCATGCTTCATGCTACGTTCACACCGAACGCAGCAGGAGCAGCAAAATCGCATCTGCTGCTTCCTTTTTGCTGCTTGTACCAGTTTAGTTCTGACGTGCGGCTGAAGCAGCTTTAATGCTCTGGCTGCGCAGTGGAAAAGTGGATCTGACGCGCGTTGGGCGGAGTTACTCTATCCTTTCTTTGCCTTGCAGCTATATTTGCTTTGATCAGTGGGAATAAAGTAGTTTTAATATGTTTTTTTAAGTGGGAAAATCCACCTGAAAACTTAATCAGTGCAGTCAGTTCATCCAGATTACCATCCTGCCTTCCAATATTATTTCTGTTGTAGCCACTCAGACCCCCACATACCGGCGGTGCGCTGTCAATAGGAATCCCATTCAACAGCAGCCTCTGGACCGGTCACCTCCTCGCGGTTCGCCGCGGAGGCTGGAAGCGGTTTTCATGTACGTAATCCAAACTGCAGGCACCAGGATAATAAACGCAAACATGTTTTGCCGGCAGGTTCCAGCAATTTTAAATTAATTTTGGCATTAATAAACTGTTTCAGAGGAGTGATCACAGCGCTCTGTGTCATCAGCGATGTGTCTCTCTCCATGCCAGCTCCCATATCAGCTTCTCTGATTGGTTGATGCGGCGCGTCAAGCAGCAAAAGTTCAATTTTTCCATCTCGAGCAGCAGCGCGTTTGCGGCGTGTCACGCGCGTCAGATGCTTGAACACTCCCGACGCACTGCTCCTGCTGCTCAAAACGCACCGCAGGACCTGTTGCTGTGCCTTGATGCGCGTCAACCATTGACTTTGCATGTAAACTGGCTGCTTCTGCGGCTCCTGCTGCGTTCAGTGTGAACGCAGCATTAGAGACGTACTCATCAGGGTTCATCCAGGCCAGTACAAACTTAAGAGTTTCCTTTGTGCCCATTTTATTTTCACCGATATCAAGCTTCTTACAAAAAAATGATTTTTGATAAAAATATTTATAGTTTAATAGTTTTGAACTATGGCTGGGTGATGCGATTTAAAATGTAATAATTTCTTGGTCCTAAGTTGATTATAAAAATGCCAAAATACATTTTTTCTTTTTAAAAACTAGCTTTGATTTCATTCATCCCCTCTAGAAGGATAAAGTAATTAAAAACGCATCAAATTTCAACCAATGAAACATGCTTGTAAAATAATCAGGATTCACAACAAATAGTTAAAATATAACACGCTAAATGGTATCACACGGTGAGCTAGTTGAACAGTTATGAGACGCCTAAGAGCTAAAATTGGATTGATGTAACTCTGAGCATAAAAGCATAAAGAGTGTATTGAAAAAAATCTATATAAGTTCTGATTTTCAAAAAAAAATTTTTATCTTTATAATAGGGATGCACGATATAATCGGCCCCTATCGGTATCGGCCTGTATCGGCCTTAAAACTGAATATCGGACATCGGCCACCCCACCGATATTTAACCCGATATTTGATCAGCTTCTGAGTTTCTAAAGTCTAAAGTCTAAAAATCAGTTTGATATCAACATATGAAAATATATTTGAGTATATTATTTTTCAAAGTGTCAGAAATGGATAACAAAACTGCTATTTTCAATGACTACTTATTTTTTTCCAGCTTTAACATCGGTATCGATATCGGTTATCGGCTACTTGAGTTTTAAAATATCGGCATATCGGATATCGGCCAAAATCCCAATATCGTGCATCCCTACTTTATAATGATTTGATAAAAGCAATTAATCGCCCAGCCCCATTTGGAATCTAACAGAAATGAAAGAAAATACTGCTCAACTGGTACGTATGCATCCTTATTTTTCTCTAATCCTGACTGGATCCTTTAAAAATGCTCAAGGAAAGTCCTTTAAAGGGTGAAAACTCTTACTGATGCATAAACCAGCGCTCTCCCCCATCCTCCTCCATGACTGAGGTACCCTGAGCATGGTACCGTCCCGCCACACTGCTCCCTTGGGGCGCCATTGAGGGCTGCCCCCTTGCACGGGTGAGGCATAAATGCAATTCCATGGTGTGCAGTGTTCACTTGTGTGTGCTGTGTCACAATGACAATGGGAGTTGGAGGAGTTTCCCAAAGGGCTTTCACTTTCACTTTCACTTCATAAATAAAATATGCATACTGATGAGTAAACAATATCCCCCATGGATTTATATCTACTATGGCGACAGGTGTACCCTGGCCCCTGCACCTCTAACCTGTGTTACCTTAATAAAAATAACATTTTTAATTTAAAAAGATTAAAATAAAAAAAGGAGACTAAACTTATTTAACAAAAGTTTATTTTTCAATCATGTAATAGAATAAGGAATAAAGTTGAAATATGTCTCCCAAACTAAAATTTTTTTCTAAACACGTTTTGAGACTAAAGGAGAATAAAGGGAAATAAAATTTCATTTAGGATATATATATATATACATATATACATATATACATATATATATATATATATATATACATATTTTATTGGACATAAAAATGTGATCTTATGCTGAGTTGTACTAAACCAGTTTATTTTCTTCTTTTTTTTACCAATTCTAACACCAAGAGAAGACTGAGTTATGACATGAATCATTTATACAGGATCTTTTCCTGCTGGTTTTAAAACCTGATGGGAAAATTCAGGAATTTTAAAAAAACCACATGAGCTATAAAAAGATTTCAGAGGAGTAGCAGGAGGTAAAAACGGTGAGTTTGTTTACAGCAAAGAGAAGTTTCAGAAACAAAGCAACATGGGGGAAGCATAATGAATACCTGCAGCTGTACTTTTGTCCCTCCTGAGTGTGTAAGTAAACCGCACTTTAAAGGTTTTCTGAGCCGTTAGCCCCAAAGGCGTAACAGTGTCCTGGTCTATCTGAGTGTGACTGCAGTCAGTGATAGAGAGAAGGAAAGTGGAGTGGGCGCTCTGCTGGGTTACCTGCTGAAAGGCCTGATTGAGCTGGCCCTGCTGGAGGAACTGCAGGATGTTTGCCTGCTGCGTCTGGTAGTCCAGGTGCGCAGTGGGGACGGGCGTTCCCGCTGCTGACCTCATCGCCTGCATGATGCTAGAGGTGACGACTGCCTGCTGCTCTTTCATGGCCAGGTTCACCTCCCCTTTGACGATTCGCTGCACTTGGCTGAGAATAGTATCCTGCAGGCTGGGGAAGGGGACCAAAGTTATCCTTCAGATCAAATCTTTCCAGAACTTATAGTAAAATATAAGATTTAGTTGGGCTTATTTGCTAAACAGTCTCTTGCAGACTGAGGTTGTCATTTCCTTTCTAAGATGTTAGAGCATCAGCTAACGGTCCGCTTCTTCTCTGCTCCAACCCTAAATCTATAAACTCCTTAGGATAAGGAATTTATTGCACGGGGAACAAGAGACCTAATCGAATTTATCCTTTTACATTAGCCTCAGGATTAAGCTTTGCTTGTTTTTACTCTCCAATCCATTACAGCAAATTCTGCCGCACAGCTGGAGTTGCTGATTTACATACATGATATGCAAAACAAACAGCCAGTCGATTCTTTTTTAGTCAGTAGTTTAGTCAACTAAAGCAATGTTTTTTTTTAAAAGCAGGAGCTGTAGTTTTTAGCTTTTTTTTGTAGAGCAGCGGTTCCCTCCTTGAGGGAGCTATCGATTAGGGTCGCCTCAGATACTTACTTTCCCACCACCATCTGCATCTGGTGCTGGACCTCGGTCCGGACGGCGGCCGATATGTTGCCGGCCAGCTGATCGGTGGAGTTCTGGAAGGTGTCGATCATCTGCTGGAGCTGGCCGATCACAGGGTCCCGTGAGTCCTGCTCCCTTTGCTTTCTGCTTTTCAAGTGAGTCTCCAGCTGCTGGATGTCTGGGAACAAGAAAGACAAAACTCATCACACTCAAACCTGGCAACTTTTAACCCGAGGACTATTTGCCATATAAATAATTCTCGATTTGTTGTTTATGTCAGTTTAAACTGGATTAGCTGTCTTCAGATGCTCCAAGCTTCCTGGATCCTGAGGAGAATCAGGCACTAAAATGCATCTGTTCTGTTAGCTTTTATAGAGGTTTCTCTAAGGTTATTACCTCCTACTGCTAATTAGGTTTATTGGCAACATTTGCAACTGTTCAGGTGTCTGCAGCAAAGCAATTACACAAGAACACTTTAAATGGGTAAATAACACGCCTGCACATTTTTTACCTTAAATTCTTTGTGACTGAAACAGTGAAGAGGAAATATCAGATGTCATCTAATTTTTGCTGTCATCATGTCATAAGTTTGGATAAATTATATTCAAATGCAGTTTAAAAAACAAAAGAAAAATAAAAAATAAAATACTAGGGATGTCCCGATACAACTTTTTAATTTATGATATGATCACAATATTGCAGTCTTGAGCAATGACTGATAGTGATGTTGACCCAATACGATTACAGCATGAATCATACATACTTTAATGACTTTTTTTGTGGCGTGGAAAAGAAAAGGGTTGATGAGTGACACTTCTCAAACAGAGTACAATACTTAACAAAAACCTGTATGAGAACCAAAACGTGACTTTAAACAAAAGCGGTTAGAAATAGTGTTACCATGAGCTTTCTAATTTTTAATTGGAAGGTTGATCTATTCCAATATTCACTTTTGCGTAATGTCAGACCATTTTCTGATGCCAATAACACATCCAGACATGACTACAAAAAAGCTTCCAGACTTTACACCTTAATGTGGTGGAGTGGTTTCAGTGCCTGGATGTTCCCAGAGGTTATGTTGTCGGCGGTTTACAAAACCCTCCTGGTTTTGTGAAGTTTAAAAATTGCCAGTTTTAATGTATATGAATAACTTCTGTTTTTTTATATAAAGCAGGTTAAACACCAGTTTACTTGGCAACAATAACACCATGCTGCAAAAAGATATATTCTCTTGGTCATCTCCTAAATATGCTACGGAGATTAAATGAAAACATTTACCTAACTTACAGTATTTTCACGACCATAAGGCACACCATACTAAAAAGCACAGTCTCAGTTATGTGTGCCATTACTGTATTTAACACACACATAAGGGTTTTATATATAGGTACATGTCCTCTACTACGTTTAAATACCTATACTGGGTATTTAAAAATAGAGCGGGAGCAAAACTGAGTATGTTTGTGCTTTATTCATGTATTTATTACAAAGTTTTAATCAAACCCATCGAAATCATCCTGTTTCTGAATTAAACAGCTGCGCTAAATCAGACATGCCAATTTCCCCTTCTTCGCTGTCAGAGTCACTTTCCGTGCCGGGCGGCTCCTTGGAAATGATGCCGGATTTTGCAAAAGCTCGAACAACAGTGCCAGCAGACACGTTAGCCAAACCATTTACAATCCATCCGCAAACTGTGGCGTAACTTGCCCGGCGCTGCCTTCCACTTTTCGTGAAACTGTGGTCTCCGTCTGTCATCCATTGCTCCCACGCCGCTCGCAGCCTTACTTTGAACGGCCGGTTCACACCGATGTCGAGCGGTTGAAGTTCCTTTGTCAGACCTCCCGGAATAACAGCAAGCACAGCGTTCATTTGTTTCACCTTGTTTTTTTTACATCGGCTGTGAGATGGGCACGCATGGAGTCACAAATTAACAGCGATGGTGATGCGTGGAAAAAACCACCTGGTCTCCTTACATCAGCCTCCCTCATCTCCTCATCCATCCAGCGTCTTTCCTCCAACTCGGGCCACCTAGCCTTATGTCCGCGGAAACTCAGCTGCGTCACCTGTCGGAGTTTGTTTCCATCTTCCTCCACTTGCGAACCATCGATTCATTAATCTTGAATTCTCTCGCGGCTGCTCGATTTCCATGTTCCTCTGCGTAGCTGATAGCCTTCAGTTTAAACTGTGCTTCATAGGCGTGTCTCTTTACCATTTTCAGGGTTGTTAAGACAACAATGTTTTGCGTAAAGCACATACCTGTTCTTTTATACATAATCCACACCCACACTTCCCCCTTTAACGTTCTCATGGTGGTCTCAACAACATCCGCAGTAACAACACACATAGGGCGCACCGCACTATAGGGCGCGCCGCACATTTTGAAGGGAAAAAAAGACGTTTATATGCGCCTTATAGTCGCAAAAATACGGTATCTGCCAAAACTCACTTAGCAGATGTAATTTTATGCAGTAACATTAATCAGTTGGTTGAAAGAAATAAAAAAATATATATCTGAGCTGTGCAGCGTTAGCCTGATCTGATCGCACTTGAGTTCTGCAAACCTATTGAGATACTGACTACTAACTAAAGCCCACTTCAGAAGAATCCCTGAACAATTTCTTAAAGACGATCTGCCTGCAGTCAATACTGAATCAAATCGAGATAACTTATCCATGAATATGGACGGAGGGGGTTTCGCACAGCTGTTTTAAACACATAGATGGAGATCAATATGCATATTGGTAATATTTATGTTAAACAATTGCAATCATATAATTAAAGAAGTGCAGATGCTAATGCTGCAGGTTCAGTCAATATGTAATTACAATGCCCTGAATCGGATTACTGATACCATTTAAATGGGAGGAGAAGCAGCCTCATTGTGTGTGCTTTACATGTTTATGTATTTAACTTTAGAGCTTCAGAGTCAGAACAAGCCGACTTGTTATTAATGCGTCTGTGAGGCTGCTTGGTTGGGAAGTGGCCTGTTCTACATCTCATTCTATCACGGAGCCTCACCTCATCTGCTCCCTTCTGAGTTGATCTACTTCCAGACAAAGTTTAAAGCTGCTGGAAGTGGAAAAAGATCACAAAGGAAAGATAACCTAATATTCTCCAACACAATGAAAGGACCCCCTGATTCTGACAGAATCTCAACATTTACTGTGAAAACGCTCTACACACATGCGGACACTTCTCTGCAGATTCCTCTGCACATTCAGAGTGTGTGTCTCTCAAAGCTTCAATCTATAAAAAAGTTGAACTGAATATCAGCTTACTGTGACTATATGGCAGATTTTAAATGTGCATTAAATACATTTATAGTGTGTAAAACAAAGACTTGGAGGACAAATGGAGGGATGAATGGTTGAAAAATGGATTAAAGACTAACAGGATGGGTGGATGCAGCTTAGTAAGGTAATAATGTTTTTTTCATATTCAGACTTTGTTAAGCATTTGAGCCAAACCCGACTGACACCTGTGGTGTGGATTTTCAGGTAAAAATTATGCCTTTATTAAGCACCTTGCACATAGCAGTAATAGTTAACTTTTTCAAGGTAATCTCTGATGCCTTACATTCTTGTGTTCCCTGCTTGAAGCTTTCGTTGATTTGCTGAAACATGGACTGGAAGCCTCTTTCAAAGACAGGCAGCACGGTGCTCTGGAAGGCGTCTTTATAGGCAGCCTGGATGGGGCCCTGCATGGCCTCGGACACAGCTCGACCGATGGCGTCTGTAGTGTTCTGATAAAGGAAGCCCACATTAGAGTCGAACAATGAAGAGAATAGAAGAGAAAGAAAAGCAGAAAAAAAATAAGACTAAAATGTGCACGCCTACCTTGGATTTGACCACCTTGATGACATTGTCTTTCAGGGTAACCTCCACTGCAGTCAGTTTAGCTACAATCGTATTGTTCAGCTGCCCCGTCACAGGTTCCATACTCTTAGAAATTGCTAATAAATATGAAAAAAAATAGGGAGACAATTTAGCAAGAACATTTCTATAATTAGACAAGCGGTACTGCAGAGAGCAAATCGAAAACCTTCTTGTCTGAATGTAAGGGCTGGAGGAGCTGAGGCAGGGAAACGTCTCTCCAGAGACGGCAGTGTTTTAGTCTGACATCATCACACCTCAGCAGTCTTAGCTATATTTTACTTCTGCTCAGAATTATCTCAAGCATTATATAACATAATCATTTATTGATGGATGGCCTGCTCTGCACTTCCACTCAATTCAAAGTGACAAAACAAAAACTTAAAAAGCAGCTCAACAATGTCCAAACAAATTTCTTTCCGATTCTTCTTGTTTGAAGTTTATTATCTGACCCAAACTTAATGCTTTAATTCACCACAGTTAGAAAACACGAATTGTTCTCCTCAGCAACACCTTCCAGCTTCTTCGATGACATCCCAAATCAGACGGGACTTCTTCACATTAAACCAGATATTTACACATTTTTACTAACTTCCTGACATTTATTGTGATAAAAATGTTCTTGCTTAATGCAAAATAAGATGATCAAATTTTAAAGGGGGCTATATGATGCAAAATGCATCATAATATTGATCTTCAGTTCCCAGTATCAATAAAAAAAAAAGAAAAGAAAAAAAACCTAAAACAATGAGGGAAAATGGGCTACCTCTTTTTACTATGTTTAAATGCTATAGTTTATCATTTTTATGGACAAAGTTGTATTTTACTTCGCAACCCCATGAGGTCTGCTGCCTGAGCAGTAGCCCCTCCGTGTCCTGGAAAAACAAGCAGTTGGAGAATATCTACATAAGAATACCCCACCCCATCCAGCAAGCAGCTACCTTAACCAAGCTGTGGAAAAATTGTGGGAAAAAAGGCCAACTTTCTAGAGAGAAAGTGGGTCTTTTAGCAGCTAATCTACATGGGGCAGCTCCCTCTTTTTTAAAACAATGCCTAACTTGTAAACATCTGTTCTCATACTTCGTTCAGCCTATCAGAAGTGTTGTGATGCAGCCATGTAAACAAATTGCTTTGAGCCAGAAAGAAGGAGTGGCCTCCCTTGAATCTGCAGCTAACTGCATCCGCCATATCAGCCAGATTTTAGCCAGAAAATTTAGACATTGTGGGTTAATGTAGATAGTAGTTAGATAGTAGTAGTTTTAAATGGTTCAGTTTAAAGAAAAATATTTGGAGTAATAATCTGATGGAGCATTTCTCTTTTCTTTTCAGAAATAAGAATTATGCATTCTCCGTAGAATGGCTTTTTATGTAAACCTAATTTAGTAGAGTGTAACCATTTATATATATATATATATAAATTTACTTTTACTTTTTTTTTTTTTTACAGTTCAAAGCTGACAGAACTTCGAGAGGAGAGATCGTGAGTTGGATACGGTCTGTTAGCTTGTTAGCATCCTTTCATCGTTAAATCTACTGTCTAGATCTTATTCTTGACATAAATCTATGCTTATGCGGACTACAATTAATCAGAAAATTTTAACTGAAATCTTGTTTCTTATCAAAATAAATAATATTACTGTAATATTATTAGTTTTTAGAGGGTATTTGAAATGAATCACAGTCAAAAAGCAATTCTGACCAGATGCTGGTTAATTGGAAAAGCTGATGTGACCCCATAGTGATCAAAGTTTCTTAGCTTTATTCAAAGCATCTGGTTGAAATAGAAGCAAGTTTTTTGATGTGTTTTAAGGTGCATTCAGGACCAAGCATGGTGTCGGTGGTGACGGCGGCAGATTTACATAGCATCCCTAGGGAAAATGTGTAAGGAAAGGCAGGGAAGCAGCCAGTGGTGAATCCCAGTATTAAATTAGTCATAATCCCTTCTGTTATTATTTACCCACTAAAGTTGATACTTTTCAAACTTTACAAAGCAGTTAAAAATTAAATTAAACAGAACTAAGAAACTTGAATGTTTCTCCAGTTCTGTCCCAGGAAGCTTGTGAATGAACCCCTCTTCATTGTACCCCACTAAAAAGAAAGGTTCTATATTAATGAGCTGGATTTGCCATTTACTCCAAACTGCTCCTATAACCAAATGCATTTTGATCAGTTATCATCACATATTAACTAACTGATCTAAACAATCTTTTTTTTGTTTTTTATCTTATCATTCTCTTCTACTGCAGCAGACAATATTAAGCGACTTAATATCACCCTCACCTGGAAAGAAAGACATTTGTCTGGAAGGTTTGTGGTTTCTATCAAATATTTTAGAGATGAAGTTCTCTATACATTAGAAGCATATAATAATAATCCTGGAGTTTGTACATAAATAAAAGATGAGTCATCTGTTGTGTATGTTTGCTTACTCTGTGGGACAGTTTTCTTCAGCTCCTCTCGAAGCACTTTGTCCATTCTGTTTGTTAGCGCTGAGCTGAGGGTGTTGCTCAGCTGCTGTGTGAACTGCTCCTGAAGCTGCTGCTGGTGGTTCTGACTCTCTGCCAGAACTCGATCCAATCTGCGCTCTGAGGTCAAGAAGGGTCAAGGCTTAACAGCAGATGAAACATGTGGATGTATTAAGTATTCACATAAACCCGTTGTCCACTTTTAGATCTGAATCATTTTCTCATGGCAGCATATTATATGTGCGAAGGAGGAGAAAATGGGAATGTGTCATGAGAAGTGACTGAATGAAGGATACGTTCCTGCTCCTGGTGCTTCATCAGGACGCGCTCCACCTGAGCAATAATTGTACCCGGCATGGTCTCCACCAGTGACCACAGTTCAGTTAAGTCTCTCTGCTGGGTGCGCAGCAGCATCAACAGCTCATCCTGAGCTTCTGCATTAAACTGTAGGCAGAAAACAAAAGACAAAAAATAGAGTAAAACACAGAAAAGGCAACTCAAACTGACAAATCCACAGGAGGCGAGCACCTTACAAAAAACAGCAGAGTTTATATCAAAATTAGGATAAAACTGAATTTCCAGAGAAATGAGGGATGTAAAAATAAGGGGAATACTAGTGTAAAAAACATAAAACCTTAAAAGCGTGTGAACAGATACATCTCCAACACGCCCCCACAATGTCTCTAGGTGCTGTGGACCATTAGTAAAATATCAGCACCATAACTAGTTGATTATCTCACTCTGGCCAAGTGTAGGCCTCCTCCAAACATTAAACTTCCATTTTCTACAAACATCCTGTCTTCATCTTAAACAGACCGCGTTATACTGTTTAGAATTAAAATTATAATCCATCAGTTTAGACAAGAACCTGCTGTGTTATAATCTGATACTATCCCATCTGATCATCCCATTCAAAAGAAAGTTTTATTTCTTCATCATTTTTTATCTACCATTACTGAAAACTGAAGTGTCTTTAATATGGATCAGGGCAGGTTATGACATCTAGATCAACAGTGTTTGGCAACATTTTAAGGTAAAGGCTAAAACTTTTTCACCAAATCGATTAGATTTTCAAAAATGATAAACTCACAGAACATATAGAGTACAGGTGCTGGTCATAAAATTAGAATATCATGAAAAAGTAGATTGATTTCAGTAATTCCATTTAAAAAGTGAAACTTGTATATTATATTCATACATTACATACAAACTCATATATTTCAGATGTTTATTTTGTTTAATTTTGATGATTACAAATGACAACAAATGAAAATCTCAAATTCATCATATCAGAAAATTAGAATATTGTGAAAAGGTTCAAAATTGATGGCCCCTGGTGCCACACTCTAATCAGCTAATTAACTCAAACCACCTGCAAAAGCCTTTAAATGGTCTTTCAGTCTAGTTCTATAGGCTACACAATCATGGGGAAGACTGCTGACTTGACAGTTGTCCAAAAGACGACCATCGACACCTTGCACAAGGAGGGCAAGACACAAAAGGTCATCGCTAAAGAGGCTGGCTGTTCACAGAGCTCAGTGTCCAAGCACATTAATAGAGAGGCGAAGGGAAGGAAAAGATGTGGTCGAAAAAAGTGTACAAGCAAGAGAGATAACCGCACCCTGGAGAGGATTGTGAAACAAAACCCATTCAAAAATGTGGGGGAGATTCACAAAGAGTGGACTGCAGCTGGAGTGAGTGCTTCAAGAACCACCACACACAGACGTATGAAAGACATGGGTTTCTGCTGTCGCATTCCTTGTGTCAAGCCACTCTTGAACCACAGACAGCGTCAGAAGCGTCTTGCCTGGGCTAAAGAGAAACAGGACTGGACTGCTGGTGAGTGGTCCAAAGTCATGTTCTCTGATGAAAGTAAATTTTGCATTTCCTTTGGAAATCAAGGTCCCAGAGTCTGGAGGAAAAGAAGAGAGGCACTTCATCCACGTTGCTTGAAGTCCAGTGTAAAGTTTCCACAGTCAGTGATGGTTTGGGGTGCCATGTCATCTGCTGGTGTTGGTCCATTGTGTTTTCTGAGGTCCAGGGTCAACGCAGCCACATACCAGGAAGTTTTAGAGCACTTCATGCTTCCTGCAGCTGACCAACTTTTTGGAGATGCAGATTTCATTTTCCAACAGGACTTGGCACCTGCACACAGTGCCAAAGCTACCAGTACCTGGTTGAAGGACCATGGTATCCCTGTTCTTAATTGGCCAGCAAACTCTCCTGACCTTAACCCCATAGAAAATCTATGGGGTATTGTGAAGAAGAAGATGCAATACACCAGACCCAACAATTCAGAAGAGCTAAAAGCCACTATTAGAGCAACCTGGGCTATCATAACACCTGAGCAGTGCCACAGACTGATCGACTCCATGCCACGCCGCATTGCTGCAGTAATACAGGCCAAAGGAGGCCCAACTAAATACTGAGTGCTGTACATGCTCATACTTTACATGTTCATACTTTTCAGTTGGCCAACATTTCTATAAATCCTTTGTTTTTATTGGTCTTCAGTAATATTCTAATTTTCTGATATGATGAATTTGAGATTTTCATTTGTTGTCATTTGTAATCATCAAAATTAAACAAAATAAACATCTGAAATATATGAGTTTGTATGTAATGTATGAATATAATATACAAGTTTCACTTTTTAAATGGAATTACTGAAATCAATCTACTTTTTCATGATATTCTAATTTTATGACCAGCACCTGTAGTTAAGCATGAAAGCGTTTACTTTAATGCATGAGAAAAGATATAAAATTTGAGTATTTGTTTTATAGATTTGAAACGGTCTGAGATATATAAATATTTACTTCTGTTTATGATGTCAACGATGTAATTCAACATTTAGCCAATGTATGTAAAAACTCCACCTTTATGTCTGCTTTACATTATTTCTAAGGCTAATGTGTTTTTAAACTAATACTATCTGAAAGATAAACACAGCAAACAGAGCATCCCGATTAGAGTGAGACATTAATAATCTACTGTTTCAGCACTGTTGAGGTGTGCTTTGTAAATAGTAGCTACATTCATTAAACTGGGGCAGAGAAGCAGTTATGGTTGTCGGTTGTTACCTGACCAGCATCCATGTGCCTGGGCTGAGAAGATTCACTGAAAATGGGAGAAACAACAACAAAGATTTAATGATAAGCAGAACATTTTCCATCAACATCTTATGAAGTTGATATCTTCAAAATTTGAATATATAGAAAAAAGTATCACAGAAAATAAAAACCAATACAACAGAATTCAAGTGATTCTTTAACATTTCTATCTAGTTTTTCACTGCAGCTCCTTGCAACAGTTTAAAGAGAAGGAAGCAGGCATTGAACAAAGATATAATCAGACATAAACTACTTCAGTTTTTATGCTTAAGGTGCATAGCTAGAATTTCAGAACATACCTGTCATCTTTCTTCATTCTCCTCTTTCGTTTGGGCGAGCTTCTTGGGGAGGTCTTCCAGTCTTTGACTGGTATCCTGTGGGAGGAGCGAGAGCCGCAGTTCCCAGAGGATGAAGCCAGACTAGAAATCTCATCATCAGGATCGCTAAATGCCAATAAAATGAGTGAAGGGCTCTGTAGTCATCTGATGGTAGGTGACTAAAAACAATTTCTTCTGAGTTAATTCAGTGATGAATGTTACCTCTGGTCGGCTCCAACGTCCTGACTGTCGTTCTGTGTGAGGTGGTGGGAGCGAGGGTGGTAGGGAGAACTCAAACGGCGCTCGCTGGACTCCTCTCTCGAACTATAAGAGATAGATTCAATGAAACAACCGGTTGACAAACATTGATTCAGTTTTGGCAACATTGTTTTAATAAACTGATTCTCAATAAATAAAATCGGAGAACTAAAGGGTCTAAAGGGTTTCTAATCGTATTAAAAATGTCTTGATCAATAGTTTTTTTATAGAGTTCCCTCCTAGCACTATAACATCTCACGTTACTGTCAGTGAATCATTAAAAAAAATCTGAGGAGAAAAGAAAGCTCTCTCAGGCTGATAAAGTATTTCTAAAAGTCACAGGAGAGAAAAAAAAATCCAAGACTGAGCCAGACAAAGAACCTAACAAATGACTTTCTGTCAGTTTTCAGCAAAAAGCATTGAGGGAATCAAATGGAAATAAAAATCTTATTTTCCGTCCGTCAAGCTGTGTTATCCTTAGTTTTTAAACAGAGTTTGAACATTAAAGGTTGGAACATTGCAGCAATAAAAACTGTGGATGGCACCACATACAACATGGATGACTTGGCCCATTAAAAATTAAAAAAAAAATGCCCTCAACTAGGACTGGGTATATGACCTCAAAACAATATCCCGATAAAATGGGCGGCTTTACCATGATAACGATAAATGTACAATAATTGCTCCGGCAGAAAATGCAACTGATCTATTTATAATTTATTTATTCTATATACATATATATATATATACATATATATATATATACATATATATATATATATCACTTTCAATTAAATATCAAAGTCTTGTACTAATTCAGGTTTATAGATTCAACAATATCTCGTTGAACAGGAGAAAAATGTTACCTCTCTTGCAAACACTTTTGCACATCTTTGAACTCAACAGCATGGTTGTGCTGTAGGTGAAGGTTGGATGTTTTACTTTGGTTAGTCCCAACAGTTTTCAGACAAACTTTGCATTTTGTGTTCTGTTGCTCAACATCTTCAGCGTAATTTTGGTGCCACCGAACTGAGTGTGAAGTGAGAACAACGGGAATAGTTTAAACTCGCACAGCAATGCTCACAACCGGTCCACCGCGCTCTCTGACAACGCGCTCTCAGCCTCATTTCTGCTCTCGCTCGGCTCCACAGGGTTAACTGATGTAATTTTGTTTACAGCTTTGTTAAATGCTTTTTCATTGGGCTCATCCGCCATTTTCTTTGTTTACAATTCTGATTCAATCAATGGAATCGCATGATTAGACTCACACTGCAGTGTCTTAAAGGGGAAGGAAATACCAACCACTAGTGCACACAGGAAAAATGGCAGAATTAAGTTTATTTCCTTTACCAACATGGGAAAAATTGTCACCCGTTATCATGGGTAGTGACGTAACAGTAAAAATCAGGTTTATTGCCCAGCCCTACTATTAACTACAAAAGGAAGATCATTGTTTTGTTTATAATTAATGAAAAGATTAAGCAAGAGTATTTTTCTATTAACTGAACTCATGTGATGGGTTGGAAATTGTTTCCATTTTTGATAAACATTAGAAAAGAAAGAAGAAAACCTTGGAATCCACAGTTCAGCCGAACCTTTAGCATGAACTGATTTCAACAGACCAACACAAATCAAAAGCAAAAAACTATAAACTGCCTTGAAGTGCGGTTACTGACCAGTCTCCCAACCCGTTGTCCCTGAGGCTGTTTCTGGTTTCCCTGGTGATGTCTGGGGCTGCCGGCCAAGCCGTATGGCTAACACTGCCGTCTAATGACCCCCCGCTGCCCCCGGAGTTCTCCTGCGACAGCGTGTTCTCCAGAAGAGACGGTTTATTACCCATTCTGGACTCTGACTCTATTGGCCCGATGGGCGACACTTCGCTGCCTCCGAGTTCAAGGGGCAACAAACTAGGATATGGGAAAGAGATTGATTGCATTTATTAAAGTACATTAAGCAAGAACGGCTTAAGGGCGTTAAAGAATTGCTGCTCGTACCCGTTGTTAGCAGAACGTGGAGACGTCAGGAGGTGCAGAGCACAAGCAGCAGAAGCCATGCTGTCCGTCTGGAGAGCAGGAAGAGGTAAGGCCTCTAAGCCATGACCACGCTGGTGCTGCAGGGTCTGTGTCGCGATCTCTGGCATGTCCTGGGACATCACCGTTGAAGCGGAAGAGATGACGTCTGGAGAGCGGGCCCTGGTGGGGGAGGCTAAGGGAGGCAGCAGGGGAGAATCTGGGACATGAGGGGACTCGAGAGCCAGGGGGCAACTGGGGGAAGCCAGAGCCTGAAATAAAGCAAATATTTTCAATAAACTTCAAAAATCATAAGAAATATGTCTTTACCCTGATCTGCCTGACAAAACCTTTCAAAAATTGTTTGAAGAGGAAAGAATTACAAGTTATTGCTTAGCTGTTTATCTGAATGCTGAATGTAGTCTCACAGATAAACCTTCAAAAATCAACGTTCTAGTTAAGTAATCATCAGGCTCTTTTAAAAAACCGTCCTGATAAACCACAAGCGACTCATGGCTGCTTCAGAGGCGGGCTCACCTCTACACCCCAGCTCCATATGGGGACCTTGGCAGAGTACATGAGGCAGCTAAAGAGGCTTCATCGAAGGAGCTGCAGCCATTAAAAGCCTCAGATACAACAAAGTGCTGCAGGGTATGAAGCAGCTAAAATAAAACATTAGTAACTTCATGCTGAGGGCTTTAGACACAGTGTAGCATGGCTTCAGGTACCAAATCATGCTGCATGGAGGAGAAGACTCCTGGACAGGGAAGGCTACAAAGATTGTTTTAGAGAAGAAAATGAGCACTTCCCCTTGGTAGGTTCCACCTGTTGGGTTGCTGCTTCTCCTCGGCAGAAAGCTTTATCCAACTGTCAGAGAACACTGCTATGTTTTAAAGAGCTGGATCAAAATGTCCCACAGCAAACTTTTCCCAACTATCCAGGATCTGGTTCCAGTATAAAAGAGGTCTGAACATTGCTAAAATCCTAAAGGGTATTAAAAAAAAAAGAACCTGGAGCCAACTGGGTGGGATCAACTTTAGGTCTTAGGAGGGAAATAATGACTCACCATAAGGCAAGAATAGGCCCAGAATAAGGTATGCCGCTACTCAGAACAAAAATAAAACAAAAAAAACTTTAAAAAAAAGAAAACTTGTGAGGGCTGCTGGTCCCTTTCTCCTGTGGGATGAAGCCAGGGGAGAGAACTCATGCAAGCTCACGGAGAACATGCAAACTCCATGCAGAAAGACCCCGGGCTGGGAATCAAACCCAGAACCTCCTTGCTGCAAGGAAGCATTGCTACCCACTGCACCACTGAGCAGCCTAAAATTAAAATAATAAACCTGAAAACAGATTTTTCAAGTCAACTTAAGGCATTTCACTCTTCAGTTTAACTCACTGCTGAAACATAATAGAGACAAGCTCTGAATCCCCATGATGGGGACATGTTATGTTAACATATCTCTGTCAGGAACTGTAGACGACGGTTTAGAAACTGGCTCGTCTATTGGCAGTACATAATCCTATAAGAATTACTTATAGGAATAGGTAATTATTTTTAATTCCTATAAGGAACTGAGTTTGGGAAAGAAGCTAAAAGTTTGCGTCATGTCATACCTGCAGGCCCTCTAGTCCAGGCAGCAGCACTGCAGAAGCAGCTCTTGGGCTGCTGGTGGAGACAGAGAGCCCCAAACTACTGTTGCTGTTGTTGTTGTCTCCTCTGCTTGGACTCTGAGTAACATCCTCTATAGCTCTGCAGAGAAACAGAGACAAGAAGTCAGAAGTAAATATGCTGCAAGAAGAAATCAGAACTGATTGGATATTATCTAAATGTGCTAAACATGAGCGTACAGAACAGTAGTGAGTAAAGATTATATGGGCCAAGAAGCTCACCTGTTTGAGTCAGAGTTACTGCTGGTGGCTGTAACAATAGTCAGGCTGCTGGCGCTACTACCAGGAGATGCAGGTACCTAAACATTTACATTTTATATTGTCAAAAAGACACACTAATAACCTCCTAAAAGACTTATTTTGTTAATACATAGAATGAAAAAAAATCATTACCGAAGTGCTTGGTGTCATGAAGGCATCAGGAGTCATCAGCTTGGGCATCGGCCCACTGCTGGGCCCCGAGTTGGACAGGAAGTCAGAAGGAGCAGGGAGGGAGGGGATCTTTCTAAGGTCGGTCTGTGAGCCACTTCCAGAGTCCTTATCGGAGCTCTGGTCTGTGAGATGGTCTGAAAACCCTGCTGGGAACATTAAGTACAAAGTCTGATTAAAACTACGATGCAATTTTTTTCTCCCACACCATTTACACTGGATCACTGCTGCACCTTATGGAATGGAAATGTTCATTTCACTGCTAAGCTGCTGCTCATTCACTGTCTAAAAGATGTAAAAAATGAAATTTCATTTTGTATACGGTTCTTATTTCAACCGTTGCGTATATTAGCTGCGACATATGAATCAAGATGCCATGACCGAAAACATTTGATCGACAGATGACTGTTGATATATAATTTCCTGAATTTATGTGTACAAGCTGACGTATAACTAACTGGCCTGCGTAAGATGACGTAAAGCAACCCCACAGATTTTAAGGATTTTTTTTTTTTTTATATAAAAATTTTCAAAATTTGGGAACAATATCAACTGATAAGAGTACATTTATATACAAGTTTAAGCCAGAATGATTTGACATTTAAATATGACTTCCCTACGACTTTAACAAACATCACTGAGCTGGAAGTAAATGGACTTAAATTAAAACCAAACTTTTCCATCGCTGTAAGTGAATGAAATCATGTTTATTTACCAAAACCCTCTTGTGAGTCAGAATGAGGAAGAAAGCCTGATGTATTGAGAGCTGCATTGGGCTGAAACCAGATCTGGACGTCCTGCAAACTCCTGAAACACAAATATACAAATTAAGACCAATTTTGTTTTCAATACAAAGACAATCTGCATTTTTTAAACTAAGGATTTCTAAACCAATAAGCACTAAAATGACAGACCCAGACTTACTGTGGCTGCTATTCACTCAAGCAACTCACAGCTTAGACTTTAAGAATGACAGAAATTGATCAAATATTTCCTCCTGGGTACATCTGTGTATGTTTGGGCGTAAGCAGGAGAAGTTCCCAGAAGAAAGGAGCTAATCTAAGCTAAAGAACGTCTCAGATATGTTTTCCTACAGAACTACAGTGGACGAGCTGAAATAAAACACAATATCCGGTTGGAGATACTGGGTCAACAGACTGATGGAGGGAAAGTTAGTGTTCCTAACTTCTGCCATCCTTTGACATGTTTTAATTGTTCTACTTCAGAAACATTTTGGGTTTTATAAGAAACAGTCAACAACAGCTGTCCTTGGTACATAAAGTTTGGTCAACATTTAAATAAACTTATCAAGAAAAAATGCACAACATTAACCCTTTAAAAGTCTGATTTAATCAGTTTCAGTCAAGTTAAATGCATCCTAAAAAAGAGAGAAAACTTACTTTGGGTGGACGCAGTAGAGTTTAATTTGGATCCCAGATTTAGACTCGGCTGGACCTTGAGTGCCCTCTAGTGGAGAAAGCAGACCAAACATGTTAAATCAGAACCACTCCATGTTGGTATTTAAAACGACCTATTCTTGTCATCTTCGCTTCTGGTTGGTTAACATTAAGAAGGAACATCTAGCCAACACTACAAACGAAGATGCTTCTGGGCCACAGTCTGTTGCTTCAAATGTAAAAGAGAACAGGATCTGTTGGTAATGACATGAATTCTTCCAATAAATCTAAATCTGGGTTATCCAGCTTGTTAGCTGATCAAAACTGCTCTGTGACAATCCGTATTTAATACAGTTCAGTTAAATATTTGGAAACAACAGCAGACCCATCAATTGAATTTTCTAAATACATTATTTCCAACCAAGTGAGGTAAATGTCTCCAGGTCCAGGGGGTTATATAGCAGTCTGATGGGATCGGGTGATCGGTAAGTACCTGTTGAAATACTCTCGCTCTCCTCCTCGGCTGTCAGGACCTCAGTGTGTCTCAGTCGGCTCTGGGTGACGTCTCGTACCCCGAAGCTAAGCACAGGGTGAGTGAGCAGGAACTCCGACACAGCAGTGAAATTGGCTTTACCCTTCTCCAGGTCCTGCCTCAGCTGCATCACATAAAGGACCTGAAGGACGACGACAGGAATTCATCATGAGACACAATTATTTCCGTCAGAGTAGAGATAAAGTTGCTCTTTTAGGAACCTAATGTGAACAGCGAGAGCAACAACTTTTTTTAATTAAGTCAAGAAAAATCTGTTTAAAGCTGCAGGAGGTGTCAGACTTTATTCAGGCTTCCTAAAGAAGAGCCCAAGAGCCATGGGTGGAAATGACGGCACCGACACAGAAGAAAGGTTGCGTTACAGTGAAGAAAAGTGTATTTTCTTCTGGGGTTGAAAAAGAGCACCAAAACTAATATTTGAGAACAAATACATTTTTAAATATGCCTATAGTTAACTTTGGAAAGCTTTAAATAATATAGAGATTTGAAATGATGCCGCTTTCTCATCTTTTGTCCCTCAAAAGCCATATTTTCTCAGCAGAAGTCAGTAAGCGAGTCGTGATAAACACTGTTGTAGTGGGAGGAGTTATTTTCATAGATTTTGTGGACTCAACAAAAAAAACAAAAAACAAAAAAAACAATAGAGCTAGGGAACTAATTCAGACCTTGCACTACTCACCTTTCTTTGCACATCAGTGAGGATCAAGTATTCAGCAGAAAGATCTAAACTGGCCTTGAGACTTGGCAAAACCGTCGAGTTAAATGGATCTGGAGAAAACCTAGAAGAATAATAAGAAGGCAGGCGGTTAACATCGGTCAGGAGGTATTGGGAAAAAAAAAATCCCCTTCGGAAGTTGCAAAGAGGAAAAAGTAATCTGATCTCTCTTTGCACAGCAGATGATGAATCGACCCTTAGAAATAAACATGTGTCCATCTGTTGAAGTGGTGCTAACCACCTCACCTCATCCATACTAGTATTTCTTAGGCTACCTAATGGTCTGCAGGCAGGTCCAGGAGACGGTGCACCACATCTTTAACTCCTGGTTCTGGTCGGCTCCAGTTATCAAAAACCTCCAGAAAGGAACCCTTCAAACAGAAAACGTGTAAACATTTGATATCTAAAAGCAATGCCTCAGACAAGTATGCTAGCATTAAACTCTGGATAAACTGACTCTGGATCCTGCCGCTTGTGGTTATCACAGAAGAGAAGACAGGAGAGTGGACGTCCTCCATGAGGCCGTAATTCATGAAGACACCTGGATAACAGAGCAGAAGCACAAACCTAAACTGGGAGGGTAGTAACTCTGCTAAAAAATATGAATAGAATAAAACATGCAACACATATCAGAACACCAGGAATCCCATTCCTCTACCTTGGCTGGTCTTGTCCACCTTCTATGTAAATCTGCCAGAACTTGATGTATCCGTCATGGCTAGCTGTGGCTAACACGGTTCCATCAGGGGACAGGGCGCCTTCACTGAGTCGCTGCAGCAGACATAACAACAAATATTTAAGGAATTAATCAAAAGTTACAGGTATAGTTTTTACCATCTCACTACTTGCACTACTGCTTTGTGTTTTCATAGTAGCAAGTCTCGGTCAAAACTAATCGTGTAAAATAAGGTGATAAATTTAAGAGTCCATATTGTCCCTTTATAGTCTGGAAAACAAAACAATAAGGTCATGGTTTCTGCTGTGCACCAGACAGAGCACACAGAACAATAACCAAACTGTTAGCATCAATAAACACTGAACAAACATCATTTAGGAAAACACATTTCCTCTATATTCCTGTATAGATAAAAGCTTATCTTCTGAGGAGAAAAGGAAACCTTGTTAAACAAAAATGTATGCTAGTTTTCAGGAATTTAAGCAGATATTCAACTCATCTGCCTTCACTGTTAATTAAACCCTTCATGCATTGCAGAACCATGGAGAGTAACTTTACTGATCAAAATAAACATCTGCTAATCATCAGTCTTTGTTAAAAGTGATCATTGGTAGTTGTGTCCTTGTGGGACCTTTTATTGGCACTCAGAACTATTCCACTGAAAATGGAAAGATGCAGAGACTTGTTGCAGATTTCATCAACAAACAGTATGTTTTATGCAGGTCTGACAATTTACTCACACTGCTCCACTTCATAGAATTTAGAAAGAGGGTACAGAGCTAAAAATACAAATGATGGAAGCTGGATTCTGATCACTGCACATTTCCCCTGGAACTAGATTTACTTTTCTGCACAGCTACATTTTTTAATAATTTATTCTGGCTTCTATACTTTCCTTAAGTTTGTTTAAATATAGAGTTCTTATCTAAAGAGGGAATGAACCATAAAGGGAAAAATCTATCAAGTTCCAATATTAAAAAAAAAATCCAAGCAAGAGCATTAACTTATCCTCTAAAGCCAAAATGTCTTAAGTTTTGCCTTCTGACCTCATGACTCTAGAGAGTTGAAAGTACTGAAGTCAACAAGAAACAAACAGATGTAGTATTACTCCTTAGAGAAAGGCTGTTTCAAATGCTTCATCTAAACAGTGCCATGTGAAACAAGGCAAATGTAAATTGCAGATACCTGGTTATGTCCTTTCACTGTGATTAGGCCGTCTCTCAGTTCTGCCGCATCGACAGGCCAACTGCTGTTATTAGCTCTCAATACTTCAAGGTCCCAAACTTCAGCCTAGAAGAGGGAAAGTTGAAGAAAAAAATGCCAATTAGTTGAATGTGAAGAAAGATGTTTTTATTTTCCTCTGATACATGGATGCAAACTGTCAAGATGGACTATTTTTGGAAGGCTCTGAGATCGCCAAAACTTGATCCAAAAGGGTTTATTTAATGACTGCCATCTTCAAATTCACTAGCTAGGTGTCTGAATCTTTTTTAAGGCAAGTGTAACAGACGTTTTCTAAATCCATACTCTTAGGTTGATCATTTCCCAGAGACAGAATATGTGATTTTGGTTTGCGTTAGAAGGTTGGTTAAAAACATTGATACCCTGTCTTCATGTAGAAGAGCCAAAATCTGGCTGATGTCGTCCTGGTTCTCCTCACTGTCATCCAAGATGAACGGGCACCAGATGAGGCGCCTGTGGGAGTTCAGTGGAGTGTCTTCTGGCCGTTGAATATGAACCATTATCTGATCTCTGTTTGGATCTAGGTTAAGGAAAATTCTAGAAAAGAAAACATGGAAATATCCATCTTTGCTGTGACAAAGACAGGGGTTAAGATTAAAGTCAGTGCAATAGTAACACGTTTTGATGTGACCAAGCGGATCTGAGCTATGAATTTTTGTTCTGCCCTTCCGCATCTCAGGATACAGTATTTTGCTTTCAGTGAGCGTAAGCTGCCAGACCATCAGGTTCCCCACCTCGTCCACACAACCCAAAAGAGAGGAGTCAAGGTGGGCGAAAGCCAGGTCTGTGACGGCCCCGGTGAATCCCTTCAGTAAGGAGCGTTCACTAATGTTCAAACTCAGGACCCGAACCATCGCGTGGTTGTTGGCTTCATTTTCAGAACAAAGACACAATCAAACACATAAAACAAAGGATTTCAATGCTTAACAAGAGCTAAAGAAATTTTATCAGTTCTTTATACGATCTGTAATGCTATTTGTTTGCATCTGAATCTCCATAAAGATTTTTTTTTTTTATAAAAATGTACTCAGTTGCCTAAAAGACACAAACTGTTATTGACAAGGATTGCATATAGTTAACTTTGACATCAGTGCGTTAGACGGGCAGGTAATATCACATCGTATAGATTGCAGACTTATTAACTGAGTGGAGATTGTATTGTAACAGACCTTTTTCTATCAGGAAAATCGTAATGTCATCCAGAGCTAATCGATATAAAATCGTACCATGATTAGGGCTGTAACTAACGATTATTTTGCAAATCAATTCATCTATCGATTATTTATTTCGATTTAATCGATAAATAATCAGATAGCAAAGGAGACTTTACGAAATTAAACCAGGTGAAACAAAAAATTTTCCCACTTTAGTCCTCAATAGAGCAGAGTTTAAATGCAAAATGTTAACATTTATTTTATAATTTTGGTACAACTCCTGCTAAAGGTGGGTTCCTCTGTCAGCTAAAGGCATGCTTTAGAGACTCTAAACTCCAGTTAATGATTAATCGATTACTAAATTAATTGATGATTGTTTCAATAATCGATTAATCCGATTATTTCAGCCTGAATCATGATAAAACAGATTTAAACTCCTAAATAATGCAGGTTTTTACTGATTATTGAATAAAATGTAATTAACATTTAATCTTTTTTTTTTTTTTTAAAGCAAAGTAAATGAGTCACCTCTGATGGCGTATGCAAGGAAGGAGTTGGAGACCGCTATGAGTCTGCCATAATAATACTTTTGCTCCCAGTCATATTTGGCGAGAGTCTGAATTTTAACCTAAATGAAAAGAAGAAATCAGAAAAAAATAAAAAATAAAAACCAGAACAATATTTCCACAATGTTGATGATTAAGTTTCTGTTAAATCATTCATGTTGCTCAGCAGCAGGATGACAGACAAAGGTTCTGATCCATTCACAGCTAACAAACCATGAACCTCCAAACAAGATTTACCGTCTTACCTTGTTGCTGCCGCGAGCCTTGCTGTTGATACCAGAGTCCTGGCTCGCCACGATCTCCACGTTGTTGGAGGTGATGGGGATACAGGTGCTCCCATCGTCACCGGTTAGGCAGCTAAAAACAGGACAACGTACATTTAGCTTGCAAAAAAACATCCATATCTTTACAAGTGAATTCCTGGAATGGTTCATGGCAGGATGATGAAAAGCCACTCACATCCTCTGAGTCTCCTGGACGCTGCCGTCTGTGGAGATGGGTCTGGTAGAGTCAGACATGCTGCTTCCCAGCAGTCCTGCTCCCAGTAAGCCGTTCAGCTCTCCGTTGAACGGTAGTTTCCTCTGATCATCACTTGACTGTACATCTGAGGAAATCAATGAAAGCAGTGTTGACTTGATGAAGAGCAGATGGAAAGGACAGGAGGAGAGAGATCAGATTGTTCTGGTGTTTGTCGTTGGTAAAAGAACAAAAGTTCTGATGATTCAACCCAATGTTCATAACCTTTACAGACAGGCCCTTTTGCACATTGTTTATTACAGATATACTACTTTATATACACATTTAAATACAACTGTAACATTGTTTAAAATACTCAGCAATCAAAGCTGCCATCTTATATTTACTTATGAGAAAGTTAATGTGGTATATTTAAAAAAATAAACATTGTCGGGAGCGCAAAGACAAGGACTGAAGCAGAAAAGCACATGAGGCCGAGCAGAATTAGTCAGAGATGAGCGCACAGCAGGCTGGTTTTGAGAGAGGATGTGTGAGTTTAATCGCTGCACATCAGTCTCACTGCGCTCCGGTCAGTGGCACAAAAATGATGCCATAGAAATCCAAGCATCTCCATCAACATTCTGAATATGAAAAGAAGGCGGCATGGAAAAGGAAACAAGAACATGCCCACTCTGTGTTTAAAAAGGTTAAAAAGTTTCCCAGACATTCTGCAAAGCCAAAGGGCATAACAAAAAAAGTCAGTGGTAAATAAATATTTGGATACTTTGGTAATTGACTGAACTGCCTTGATTGTAGTTACTGTTAGAACACATCGTAGCCAAAAATGCTACGGTTCTAACATTTGACATAAAAATTTCTTTCAGTGTTTCGGTTTTTGGCTTTAATTTCCATGATTTTTTGCTTTCATGTTCAGTCACGTCTTTTCATTCCTGGTGCATCCCTGTTCTCTTTAGTTCTATTTCATCCCTACTGACCGCCAGAGGGCGGTGCTGAAAGCACTGAATGTTCCCTTCGGGCATGCGCAGTTCGAGTAATTATACCAACAGAGTCACACCTGTGACACCGGATGACCACTCAGAAGCTATATAGCCTGGTGTCATCCTTTGCTCTGCTCCTTTTTTCTTCTCGCAAGCGGTTCGCTAACTTCCCCGTTGTCTGAAGCCCCTGTCTCTTGACCGGAGTTGCGCTTATTCTCCGCCCTCCCAGGGCTGCAACGGGTCGATTCTAAGGATTACGGAAGGTAAGTGAGTTGTTTGCTGGTGATGGTAGCGTCCGCGCCCCCTCTCCCGGCTCACGACTTTAGCTTTTTACCTACAGCTTCGTGCTGTTTTGTTTCGAACTGCTGACGGCAGCGTTTTCGCCCCTACTCCCAGTGTGAATAACTTCACTGCCGAAGTTATATACGGCTAACGTAGTTGGCTTCTTTAGTTTGTTGGTGTTATACCTGGTGACGGCAGCGGTTTTCGCCCCCTCTCCCAGTATATTCCCTACTTTTGCATCCTTTTTTTCCTCTCCCAACCAAGTGTGGTGTACTTCGTTTGCCGAAGTTGGAGACGGCTAACGTTGTTAGCCTTTTTTGGTTTGTTTGTTCATCGGTCTGCTTAGTTATAAATGGTGACGGCAGCGTTTTCGCCCCCTCTCCCAATATCAACCTTTTTTGCAGCCTTTTCGTTGGTCTGCTCTCTTAATTGGTGACGGCAGCGTTGTTCGCTCCTACTCCCAACTTAAGTTGTCCATACAGCTAACGTTGTTAGCTTTTTTGGTTTATTGGTTTTATACCTGGTGATGGTGGCGGTTCTCGCCCCCTCTCCCAGTATAGGCTGCCTTGTGTCCGCAGCCTCTCGTTTAATCCGCTATAATTGGTGACGGCAGCGTTGTTCGCTCCTACTCCCAACTTAAGTTTCCATACAGCTAACGTTGTTAGCTTTTTTGTTTTATTGGTTTTATACCTGGTGACGGTAGCGGTTCTCGCCCCCTCTCCCAGTATCGGCTGCCTTGTGCTCGCAGCCTCTTTCGTTTCTCTGCTGTAATTGGTGACGGCTGCGTTTGCGCCCCCTCTCCCGATTTTCGATAACTTTCTGTTCTTTAAGCCTTGTCGGCCTTCGACATGGATGGCTCTCACAGCTGCATAGATTGTGGGGCTGCCCTGCAGGCAGAGGATGGCCACGACCTGTGCCCTACCTGCCTTGGACATGAGCACCTTTTGGAGGCGCTGTCTGAGAACCCCTGTATGAACTGCAGCTTTATGCCCCATGCAGTGAGGGTGGCCCGGTTGGCCCAGTTGTGCCCCCAGGAGGGCTCGGACCTTCCGCCCTCTGGGCAGGTGGTTCCCCCCAAGCGTTCTACACTGTTAAAAAAGTAAATGGCAATTGTTGTTCTAACACACAATTGTATTGTAATCCGACTCAGAAATATAAATTTGACATCTAACAAATAAATACACGTTTGCCCAACTCAAATTCTCAGAAGTTGGTTTAACAAGGAGTTTTAAATCGCCTATACAAGATTTTTTGAGTTCCCTCAACTGTAAACTCATGGGCATGCGCACTGCTTATGTTCATGGACACGCCCACTACGGTACGGGGTTTCCATTCCCTTTCTTCAAGTCCACAGCCTTTTTCCCTCGTGTTTGAGAAGATTGGCGGACATTGTGCTTTTATGCATCTGGAGAACGACGGAGGAACGACCCTGGGACCTTACCAGTTTTCTGAATCTTTTATTTTCCCGGTAAGTACTGCAAAGTACAGCCAGTTAGCGGTTAGCTCCGTGACTTAGCATTCCCTTGGGGTGTATTGCCACCGAGTTGAAGCATGAGTTCACATGTTTTTCACGTTCTGATGAAAGGAAAAGCCGCGCGCGCGCGTGTTTATAATGCGCGTGTGCGCGTGCGTGTTTATGCCGCGCATGTGCGGGTGAGTGTTTATGCGTAGAGAAAAGAGTGTGCCTGTTATTTTCATTGTACAAATGAAAAGAGACATTAAGTTGAGTGTAATAACTTATGAAATTTCTGAATTGTTTTATGTAGTGCAGTGTTGTTGCACTCAGGCACAGAATATTACAAGACTACATTATTTTACTTTCTTAATCCGATTTGGGTATTTACTGTTTAACTGTAAGTGGTTTAATAATTATTTACACGTGGATTTTTTGCTTTCATGATTTTATTTGCTTTACAAGAAAAACAGTGTCATTAACATTTTATATGTTAACCCTGTAATGCAGCAGTTAATTCGTAATGAGTTAGAAAAGTTACATTACACACTGAAATTTATCATACTTGGAGAGATATAAACTGTACAGTTAAGAACAAGAAGTGAATGGATTTAACTAAGCCCTGTTGTGCTATGCAGGCTGGGTTTTTTGGATACCCTGGATTCTGGATTCTCTCCTTAAATGGAGATGGCGAGCCAACCGTGTGAACATCTGGATTTGGACTGAAGAGAAGGATTTGGACTGAAGAGAAGGATTTGGACTGAAGAGGACTTTATTTTCTTGCATTCACTGTCCTGTCGGAGTGGTAGGACTAAAAAGAAAAACTCAGAGATAAAAAGGGAAAACCTTTTTCTTTTTCCGTTGGGAAACAAGACATTTTATTTCATTTAATTTTTTTTAAAGGGTGCACCCAATTTAAAGAGACTACAATTGAAAAAAACAAACTGAAGGCCGTCCAAATTTGTAAAACTGTTATTTTTTCATATATGTTAATACACTTACTTCACAAAAAATTACCTGTGTGTTTTCCTCTTACTAAATCTGTGTCTTACTGTTTTTTCCCTCATCATCACTCCCTCTTACGAATCTAGAACATTCTGGTCCAGTGTCAGGTTACTTTGATCTGTGCAGTTAAGATTATGTTGTTGAACATGGTTTTATACTGTATCTATTGATACAATGTTTGACTTGAAGCAATAAAAATGTTGTATTAACATAATTTTTTGTGTGTTGAATGATTGGTAGTGAAGACGATTGGTAGGACTAAAAAAACTGAGTTGATAGAACTCAACTTGCAGATAACACTACAAAATCTGAGTTTGTAGAACTCAAAATCTATATGTCAAACTCATAAAACAAAGTTGATAGAACTCAGAACTTAAAGGTGAAACTCAAAAACCTAAGTTGGTAGAACTCAAAATTTCTATGTAACACTCCAAAAACCTAAGTAGGCAGAACTCAAAAATCTTTGTAAACTCAACCACAGTGAATTTAAGTAAGGAAAACTCAAAAAACCAAATGCATCACGTTGCCTAGAAAATTTAAGTTCTGTCAACCTCTATTTTTTTTTCAGTGTAAGCGCCGTGGTGGGACCACAGCATCTGTGCCCCTCCCCCGGAGGAAGCGGGCCAAACCTGACCAGGGCCTGTCCACAAGGGTGGAGCAGTTGTCAGCAGAGCTGGCAGAGATTAAGTCCTTGTTGCAGACACGGCAATCTGATCCCTCGCTCCCAGTGATTGGGCTCTCTTCCCCACCAATGCCCGAGCTGGTTGTAGAGGATGACGTTATCTCTCTGGCTGCTTCCGCTTCTCATTTTAGAGATGAGGAGGAGGCAGGGTCCTCTCAAGCCTCTGAGGCTGGTTCATTTTCATCTCAGAGTGCGGTTGGAGAGGCCGGTGACGGTTCCATGCGGGAGGTCATGTCTATGGCCCTGAAGCAGCTGCAGCTGGAACTCCCACAAGGAGAGGCATCCAGCTCTGGCAGTGCTTTTTTCAGACGTGGAAGGGCTCCTACTCCTTTTTCTGTACCTCCATCAGAGGAGTACCTGAAGGAGTTACACGCCTGTTGGCGGGAACCGAGAGCGCTGTCGCGTCTCTCCTCGGATGGTCGTGTATTAGCTGCCATGCATGAGTCAGTGAAGGCCGGCCTGGACCGTATGCCAGCAATTGAACCAGCTGTTGCTTCACTGATTGTGTCACCAGATGAAGCCCTGCGTCCTGATGTCCGGTGCCCGCGGACTCAACGTCGGGTTACAGATGACCTCCTCTGTAAGGCGTACAATGCAGGAGCGCGTGCTGGCCGCCTTGGCAATTCCCTGGCGCACCTCATGTTTGCCCTGTCTGCATCTGTTCAGGACACTGGTGGTGCAAGTGCGGCGATTGGTTATAGTGACGCAGCACTGCAGGCCTTCGCGCT